CTTTTTTTTCCTCAATTTTGCTTGTTGTCTGTTCCTACTGGTCTATCCTGAAGTATGAAGCAGTTCTTGATTTAGCACAAGATTATGTATTAACTGATTTTAGGTTTATTAATGGTTCATGGGGTTCCATACTAAGTAGCAATGGATTTTCTAGAGTAACATAAAGTCCCTATCTGATATGGTCTGGATTTGTGTCCCTGCCCAAATCTCATGTCAAATTGTAATCCCCAGTGTTGGAGGAGGGGCCTGGTGGGAGGTGATTGAATCATGGCGGTGATTTCTGCCTTGTCATTCTTATGATAGTGAGTTCTCATGAGATCTGGGTGCTTAATAGTGTGTGGCACCTCGCCGTTCACTCTCTTCCTCCTCCTCCAGCCATGTAAGACGTACCTGCTTCCTCTTCGCCTTCTGCCATGATTTTAAGTTTCCTGAGGCCTCCCCAGCTGTGCTTCTTGTACAGCCTGCAGAACTTCAAGTCAATTAAACCTCTCTTCTTTATAAATTACCCAGCTTTAGGCAGTTCTTTATAGCAATGTGAGAATGGATTAATATACCATCTCAACACTGAAGACACAGAGGACATAGGCAAGGTGACCAAAAATTAATTGAGTGGTACTGGCATGAAGCACTTCACCTCAAGGAGGGTTCTCCTTGTGGGCTAGGGATTCCCAGAGGCCTCTGAGGTGGAGGTGGACTGCAGCTGGACCTTGGGAGGAAACTCTAGGTGTAAAGGCACAGAAAGAGACCAAGCTGGAGTTTTGGAGAGAGTGAGTGGTTCAGGAGAGCAGGGCCAGATAGGTAATATAGAAAGTCAATGGCTGGAAACAAAGGTTGGGATAACATTATAAAAGAAGGGGCAAAAGAGGAGCTAACCCTTCTGAATTCTCAACTATATATTGGCTCTTTTAATGGTCACAGTTAACTCCATAATGGAGGTCATATGTATTAACAAGATAATGCATGGCTGGAAAAACAGAATCCAGTCTGGTTGCTTAAGTCAAAGGAGGAAATCTGGCTTGGTGTGGTGGCTCATGCCTCTAATCCCAGCATTTTGGGAAGCTGAGGTGGGAGGATTGCTTGAGTCCAGGAATTTGAGACGAGTCTGGGCAACATAGGGAGACTGCATCTCTACAAATGATAATAAAAAATTAATCAGGTGGTGTATGCCTCTGGTTCCAGGTACTTGAGAAACTGAGGTAGGAGGATTGCTTGAGCCCAGGAAGTGAAGGTTGCAGTGAGCCATGATTGCACCACTGCACTCCAGCCTGGGCAACAGAGTGAGACCCTGTTTCCAGAAAAAAAAAAAAAAAAAAAGAAAGAAAGAAAAGAAAAGAAATAGGCAAATTCATCTCAAGATCCCAAGGGTAAGAGCACAGTCAACTTGGATTGGAAACCCACCTGGTGTCCGATCAACTGTAATGAAGGAGCCAGACTTTACTGGACAAATATAGCTACCAGGGACTCTGGGAGTGGCTACTGGAGAGAAAAAACTTATGGAGCAATTGCTAAAACATAAAGCGGTGTTGTATAAAAACCAATAGATAAATTGAACAGAATTATTTAAACAAAACTGAAGGAGTAAATATGGGTCTACCTATGGCATGCCTGGTCATGAGTTGATAATTGATGAAACTGGATGATGGATACAGGGGGATTCATTATGCTCTTCTATCTTTGTAAACATTAAAAACTCTCCATAATAAAAGGTTTAGAAAAATACGTGCATTTATGCAGAAACTATAAAGGTCCCTTGGTCCTTCTATTCTAGTCATTATATATGCTTTACTGGAATAAAGACAGATTTTGAATTATTCTTCATGCAGTAAAAGCAAAACCACCCAGACCCATTAAGTAACAAATTTCAGACTTGGTGAGCATCACTGTCACCACTTCAGTTGATTAAAAATCTTGATGGCTGGACCCTTTCCTGGCAATTTTGATTTAGTAGGTCTGGAGGGGAATCTGGGTATCTTACTTTCTACACATGATTCTAGTGGCACTGGTGCATGTCAGCTTTAAGGGCTAGATTCTGTGGATTATCAGGTGCAGGCTGCCCCTTTTCATTCCTATCTTTGGCTTGGTTACTTCCCTGCCAGCAGCATGATGATGTAGCACTTTATGTACAATCTTAACTACATCGATGCATCATGAGGCATTCTGCCATTTATTCTCATTTTGTGACTGCAGCATACTGTCTTTTTCCTGGGCAGTTGATTTATAATACAGCCCATTTCCATTTTAATAGCTTTAGTTTCAAAACATAAATTTCTTGGGTATTTTTTTCCCAATTTAACCCACTCAACCTCCTGTTGTTGGGTCTTTTGCCAGAAGTGCTCCCTTCCTCCTTTACCAGGGCCAGCTTCATGGGTGGGCGACCTGTGCAGTCACACAGGGCCCATACTCAGAAGGGCCTCACACTTAGTTTAGTGCTCTTCTAGCCCTATTTTATCTTTGAACCTGTGTTCTGTAAGTGAAGTCTGATGGGACAACAGAATATATGCATGAGCGGAGGAGACATGTGCAACACATATCCAGTGTTCCTTACTGCCCCATTCACATGTAGCCTTTGTGATCCCCTGTGAGCAGAGAACTCCACTGGACCCATGATGTGTCAGAGCTCGAAGAGATTCAAAGTGTGTACAAAGTAAGCATCTTATATCTACAGCTGAGTAAGTGGGGGATGCTGAGAGCCCCAAAAGGCTGCACTTCCCATCTGAACCAGACTGGCTTCAAACACAGAAAGAAGGCAATGGCATTCTAAGAAACACGAATGACCAAGGAGCCCTATCATATCCTTTTTTACTCATGTACATTCCTGTGTTAGTCAACCACTTATGCTGAAAATACCAAGAAGTGAAACAGTAACAGTTGAGTTAGTTTTGTACAGTGTTTCTACTGTTGTGGTAAGAATGAAATACATATGCATACAGTATGTAAACATAAGCTATAAAATGCAAATTGTGTAATTTTGGTGATTCTGCATGAGTTAAATAAATGCTCATATTTTCATTTAAAACTGGAATTGCATAATATAAAGATGAATAGTAAAATGCATGATAGGAATTTAACATTTAAGTTTTTAGTTAGAACAGCATTAAGTAGCAAATAAAAAACACCGCCATAACAAGTTGAGAAAGACACTATGGAAGAAAGGAAAAACGTTACATTTTAGTACCTGTAAAGGCAATGTTTTCCTGCTGTATGCACAAAAGCCCCACATGTTCATTTTGTACTGGATCCTGCATATCATGGAGTCAGTTCTGCTTTTCCCTGCTCAATCCTTCTGAGGCAGGTCTTGAGCCTTTCCTTATCATAACCCCCTTCCTTTGATAGCCTTTTGAGAACTCCCTCTTGATTGCCACGGATTTGAGGGGCACCGCTGACCTCCTGGTTCCTCCGCTGTTTCACTTGTGGAATCCAGGACTGATTTAGAAATTCTGTGATTCAGGGGATCCTCAAGTACTAAAAAAAAAGGGTACCTGCTGCAGTGGAAGATGACATAACTTCTCAACTCCCTTCTAACCTCGCTTGTCTTGGAGAAGCAGCCAAATGCTAGAATCTCTTATCCGGTGCTGGTGGCTCTTCCTTTGATCAGCTCTGGCAAGAAAAATACTTCTGGAAGACTAAACTCCAGCTATTGTCCTCGACAACGTGGTCTCTCTATATCCTTTTCTGCCACTCTATGAATTGTTGCACATTTATAAATCCTTGAAGTATAATAACCTAAACAATTAAAAGGGCCAAAATGTCTCCTAGAGAATATGTGACAATCATGTTATGGTTAAAACATACACACACACACGTACGTTTAAAATGACCACACTGAATTATAAGTGGTTAGTTTTGGGATTGCAAAGGTAAGAAGTCTCGCTATTTTAAAGCAAATGAATAAGCTGTTAATATGACGCTCAGTTTATGCTCCCAAAGACTTTCAAGCACTAATATTTCAAGACTTTGAACTATTACAAGAATGGGGAAGCAGCCAGTTAGAGCTTGCCCTGATCCTTGAAGCCTAACTTTTCACCTTGGTTTTCCTCAGGGGCTATGGAAAGTGGTAGGTGGAGGAGATATCGAAGGCTCTTTCTCATGAATATCTATCATTATTGTCACCAATCAAAATAAACATGTTTCAGAGCAAAAGTGCATGTGGAGAATCCTGCGGACTGCTCTTAGTTCCCCAGTGGGTTTGGAAGAGGGAAACCCTGGGTTGATTAGCAGATAGACAGTGCAAAGGAAGGAAGCCTGGCCAATCACTGGGGTAGAGAGGTCAGGAAAGAGCGAGTGAGCCAGCTGGGACTGAAGTGTGCAGATGGTACAGGCCCCTGCACCTCATTCCTCAAAACTCCTAATTCTCTAACCTCTGGGACTTCAGTACAAAAACTGCAGCCACCCCAAGAAGTTGGGGCTAGATGGGTGACTCCCCACTTTCCCTGTTGGGAAGTAGGGTGAAGGCCTTGCTTCTGCCCACAGCCAGGACTGTAGAGGGAGGAAATAAATAGGCATTCCTAATTGAAAATCTGAGCAACCTTCTTTGTAAAAATCTCACTAAATGTAGTAGGTATGTCAGATTTATCTTGTGTCAAATATTAAGCATATATAGGCTAGAGGTCTAGTACCCCCATATGTCAATGGGAAAGTGATTTCTGAATTACAGGCAACTTGCTTCCAAAAGAACTCTTGGAAGCCCACCCTGTTCTAAGCAGGAGACTGCTTGTCCTAAGGATGGCCAGGGACCAGGCAAAGTGACACCGGACAACTCAGAGCTGTGGAGAGTCAGGCAGAGCACGTGGAAAGCTTCTGTTAACAGTGACAGGCACCATTAAAACTTTTTCTTTATGAAGAGTTGCGCAAAGCAATGCTTGGGAATTTTTTGTTTTTAAATGGTAAGAATAGAGCACAGCACAAGTACACCTTTTTAAAAAAGTTAATAAGGAAGATAATTGTGGAACATGTATAAACAACATAACACAAAACTGGAAGCAAGAAACTTCACTGCAAACTGATGAGGAAGACAAACTTTATAGGAAGCTACAAAAGAAGTGAGCAGAGCAAGATATCCGTGGTAAGGGATACAGAGAACATACAACTGTGTATTTGAGAGGTTTCATGGAACATTGACCCATCAAATGAAGACATCAACATTATTTAACAACAAAAATTAATAGATCTGAGGAAGAGCAGTATGAAAATATTAATGCAGTGCTGTCCAACAGAACTTTCTGTGGTGATGGAAATGTTCCCTATCTTTGTGCTAATACAGAATCTATCAGCCACATGAATTCTCGAAATGTGGCTAATGCAACTGAAGAAATGAATTTTTCATATAATTTAATTTAAATTTAAATAGTCATATGTGATTAGTGGCTCCTGAATGAATGACGCAGTTCTAATGCTTCATGGGTCAAAACCAGTGGTTTCTTTGGGGGACTTCTCTAATCAGTGCTAAGGGATTGAGGGTTGAGTGCTGAAGAGGAGAACACTCATTAGACTTATTTGGGCACTTAAACAAGATCCCAAATTCCCCATTGCTTCCAGAGGCAGGGGACAGCACAATGTGCTGTGGAGGCCTCACTAGGAGCCTGGCTAATGTCAGTGGGACTAAAAGGCTTACAATTTTGGTCATTCAGCTGGAAAAAGGCCTATGGTTCACACGCAAAACTGGAGGTCACCCCTAGGGCCATCTGTGCATGGCAGCCACCATTCTGGAGCTGGTAGAGAGCTGGAGGGAGGGGTGCTCACTTCCGGATGGGGTTTCCAGAGCCAGAGGAGGATTTAGAAGTAGAGGAAGTGGAGGGACCGGAGGGTCCTGAGGGCCCTTTCTGGCCACCTGCAGGCTGCACAGGCCCTTTCTTTTTTGGGATTACGATCTTGTTCTTGCTCTTAAACACTTTGCTGGGATCTAGCTTATTCACAAAGGAGTCGGTCTCTTCTGTGAGCAGGTTTGTGTTGTAGGTGATAGGTTTATACATGCTGAACCATTGCTGTAAGGCAGAATTGGAAGAGAAGGTCACAATTCAAAGGAGAAATGCCATTCTGTATGCTCTTTTTGGGGGATGCAGGAGAGCTGGGAACAGGAGGTAGAGGTACATTTTCATGAAAAACTGCCTAAAAATCTATTTGCTCTTCCTTTAAGTGGAAGTGATAACAGATCCCATCAACCTCTGGTAAGATACACACATTGCTTTATGAGGTCTCATGACCTTTAAGATAAATGCAGTGTGAGAACTAAGAATATGAGCATACTTTCTTCTGATTTAGTGAGTCCTGAGCCTGGGATGCTAGATCCAAAAGCACTAGAGGACAGCATCTATTGTTCTGTCCTCAAACCAGCTACTCCCCATCAGGTGGATTCTGGCAGCATCATTTCCCCAGGAAAGGCAGGAGACAGAGGCCAGTGTGGGCCTCTGCTGAGGGATGTTATATCTTATTGGTGTTCTGTTTCCTACTGTTTTCTCAGGCAGCCAAGGGCAAAGGGCATCCACATTTATTTACCTTTTAAATCACAGCCGCCTCCCAATGTTGACCAGATAAATGTTATAATTATGTGATGTTTGAAGAAAATGAAGCCTACTAGATGAATACATACATAGTAAGGTGAGCTGGAGCTGAGTTCCTAATTTATTGCTAATTTAGAGCTGCAAGAAACCACCATGAAGGAGCCCAGATGAGCTCACTCTAGTCAAAAGTTTTTACAGCCACACTTGGTGTTTTCAAACCAGGTTGTATACCTGGTATCTGTGTGTCTGAAATGGTGACCAGATCTGTAATATAAATGAGGCACACCCACACAATGGACTACCCTGTAGCCACTGAAGAGGACAAGTGCTCTAAATACACTGAAAGGGAATAAGCCCCAAGATGGAGAGTTATGTGAAAAGAACAAGATGCAGAATCACGTGGACAGTACCTCATTTGAGATTTAGAAAAAATGAACAACAGAAGCGTGCATGCATGCTTTATGTGCAATGAGTATCTTGGGAAGGGCATACAGGAAACTCGTAATAGCAGCTGCCACTAGGGAAGCACACTTGGAGAACAGGGGAGTGAGAGTCTGACTTTTTACTCTTCCTGGGTGCATGTACTGCCAACCCAGAACAAGCCATGGGACATAAACTATCCAATAGAATTTAATTAAAAATAAAACTCCCGAGTTAATTCTGAGGATCAGTCCAGTTTGGGAACCACTTAACTAGATGAGTATAACGTGAAGCTGTCCATTGGAATGACCTGTCTTGCTTATTGAAAATGCAGGTTCCTGGGCCCCACCCTAGATCTCCTGAATCAGATGGGGAAGTTGGGAACCTGCAACGTAACCATTTCCTCAGTAGATTTTGTTGTATACCATAGTTTGCGATGGCAGGTGTTCCTCCCTTACCTTGGCCTGCGGGCTAATGCCATAGCTGGTGAAGGCATACTGCCACTGGGGCAGGCCCAGGTGGGTGATGAGCAGGCGGTAATAGGCAGTAAAGGTGTCTGTGAGAAAATGCCAGTATAACGCTCTGTCCAGGAACCAGATCTCGGTGTCTTCTGCTAATGCTGAATTAGAAGACAAAGGAAGTAAAAGATAAGGAATAGTTTAACAGTGTTTTCTTTTTAACTATAAAAGGTTATATTCATGGTCTAAAAAAGTAAATCCCAACAGAGAGAATGGAAAATGTAAAAGTTCCCCTTCTGCCCCACTTCTAACCCTCCAGTCTCCTTCTCTAGTGGCCACTTTACCAGTTCCTTTGATACTCTTACAAATTTTGGCTAGATTGGTAGCTTGATCTATCTGCTGGTCTCTGACCATCTGGAAGTCCAGTCAGGCTGTCTAGGCAGCTGCTCCTTTTCTGTGTGTCATCAGCACTCCCCTCCCCTGGTAGGGGGCGGAATACTGTGGTCTCAGCTTTCCTGACAGAGAAAAACATTGAATGGCTTGGGGTTTTCTGGAAGAGGTCTCTATCAATGCCATGAAAAACAAAAAGCGCCACAAAAAACCACCATGAAGGAGCCTAGCCCAGTTCACTCGTGGAGTCTTGCCAATACTGTGGTGTGATGTCCTGCCTCACGGTTTCTGACTTTCCATTCTCACTACTTCAAGCCTATCCTACTTCCTCTGCTCTCTAGATAGCTGTAACATCTCCCTAAGTGCCCTCCGTTATCCATCCAGTCTCTTTCTTTGTCAAAACTGCTGGTGGTCATGATCCCTGCCATTTTACAAAACAACTTTCATTGACTCCCCACTGTCTTCCACATTATGTCCAAACTCCTTTGCTTGGCTTTCAAAGCTGTGCCTGAGAGACAGCAATTGGCCTTCTGGCTTAATCTCCTCCTCATCCCCTACATGAACCATGTGGTCCACTGAATTGGAATTATGTGTCATTCCCCACAAATCAGTTGTATTTTCCCACGTCTTGGCTTTTACCCATTTGTCCCTTTGCTTGGATGCTCCCTTGTCTCTTTTACTCCACCAAATCCTCCTTCCCACCTGGTATCTAATTCCTACCCCATAGTTCAAGATGCAGCTCCAAGACTACTTTGCAACAATTCCTCCAGCTGGATGATTTCTCCTTCCCCTAGAGGTAAATCCTAGTGTCTGCATCCTCTCACCCCTACCAGACAGCTAGCTGAAGAGGGCTTGCCATTGTCCAGCTCTGTAGTTTCACAGTCCCTAGGCTAGGGTCTGAAGTGCTGTTAGGGGGCTAGGTGGCAGCTGCTGCTTGAGGGCATTCCCATCTGGGGTCTTTGGTCTAGTAATTCAGGTTTTTATTGCTATTAATTGGCCTAGACAGAGAAGTATAAAAGAAAAGATAATGTGTTTTCTGAATGCTTATCTAGTGCATGAACTTGCTATAGGAGTCTATAAACAAAATGTCTATTTCTTTTAGTTTTTACTCCCATATTATCCTAATCCCATCAACTATTTGGCAATAACTCACAAACGAAGATGGATAAAAGGTCTAGTAATTAGCCCAGAGGGAGATACTCAGAGAGAACCAAAGGGGTTTCTGGGTTTGGGACACACAGGGAACCTGGAAGCATCTCAAGAGGCCAAGGAGGTATGTGTCTCCTGAGCCATGGCTGACAAGCAAGGTCAGGCAAGACCCTAGCCAAACTACAGGACCACACTTGTAAATGATTCTTACCTGGTTTCCCACTTTTGTAGACAAGGCAAACTTTCCCACTGCCATTGCATGAATCCAGCTCAAATATCACACTGCGAGAGTCAAAGTGAGGCTTCTCTGGCTGATCATCACTGGCTGCAAACCCAGAAGTTAATGGTAATGTTCAAACAAACTCAACTCGAACAGATATCTATATATCCAACTTTGCCCGGTGGAAAAAACCGAAGGAAAAAGCCTTATCTCAGACATATACTTAAGTAGTATTTTCAAATAAATTCTGTATTTGAATTAAAGCCCTGATCTCATTCATGGACTAGGCCTTGTGTCTGGGTTTCTCTATCAGCAACAGACAATGTCAGGGAATCTGGGAAAAGGAGGCATGAGAAAAGCAAACTTAACTTCTTGGAAGTGGGACCACAGAGCAATCTGAATGGCTTGATGCTGACATAACTTCATTTCCTTTCCTGAGATTGTTTATTCTATAAAAGTGGGATTGCAAACACATTATCTGAATCTTTCTTTCTTTTTTTCTGAGATGGAGTCTCGCTCTGTTGCCCAGGCTGGAGTGCAATGGGGTGATCTCGGCTCACTGCAACCTCCGCCTCCGGGGTTGAAGCAATTCTCCCACCTCAGCCTCCTGAGAAGCTGGGACTACCGGTGTGTGCCACCACACCTGGCTAATTTTTGTCTTTTTAGTAGAGATGGGGTTTCAGCACGTTGGCCAGACTGGTCTTGAACTTCTGACCCCAAGTGATCTGTCCGTCTCAGCCTCCCAAAGTGCTGGGATTACAGGCAAGAGCCACCACGCCTGGCCAGTCATGGAAAAGCCCTCTAAGTCATGTGGTATAACTCTAATTCATTCTTTTTAAATGACTATTTCATAGTCTGTGGGAGTGAAGTACCCTCATTTATTCCACCATTCCTCTACTGATAGGCATTTACCTACCATTACTTGGTTGTGAATGCTACAATAATCTTCTTGGTACATGCCCTTATATTCTGGTGCTTTCATTATATGGGACAGATTCCCTGCAACAGAATAGATGTTGCCAGATTGTTTTTCAAAAAGGCCTTTTTAAGATCCAGGGAGACAGACTGGAAGTCCTTTGTTTTTGAAAGACATTTTCAATGGGTATAGAATTGTGGGTTGATTATTTTATTTTATTTTATTTTATTTTTTTGAGACAGGGTCTCCACTCTGTCACCTGGGCTGGAGTGCAGTGGCATGTGAACATGGTTCATTGTACCCTCGACCTCCTGGGTTCAAGCAATCCTCCTGCCTCAGACTCCCAAGTAGCTGGGGACCACAGGCGTGGCCACCACACCCGGGTAATTTTTAAATTTTTTGTAGAGATGGAGTTTTGCTATGGTGCCTAGGCTGATCTCAAACTCCTGGGCTCTAGTGATCCTCTGGCCTCGGCCTCCTAAAGTGCTGGGATTACAGGCGTGAACCACTGACCAACCTGTTTTTTCCTTTGAGTATTTGATCTCACTTGAATTGCTTTTAAGGAGAAATATGCTGTTATCCTTATCTTTGTTCTTTTGTATGTAATTTGTCTTTTCCTTTTGGCTGCATTTATGATTTTCTCTTTATCTTTAATTTTGAAAAATCTGATTATGGTGTTTCTTGTTACCATTTACGTTTCTTGTTCCTTGCTTATGAAGCTTATTGGATATGTTGACTTATAGTTACCCTGAAATTGGTAAGCTTTTGAGCCATTATTTCTTCAAATATTTTCTAGCCCCTGACCCCTCTTCTCAAAGACTTCAATTACACATACATTATACCATGTGTTATCCCTCAGGTCACTGATACTCTTTTCATTATAAATACTTTTTTTTTCTGTGTAACTTTAGATAGCTTCTATTATGTGTTGAAGTTCTCTAGTCTTTTCTTCTGCAATGTCTTAGCCACTAATAATCCAATCCACTGCATTTTTCATATCAGAAACAAGTTTCCATCTCTAACAGTTAAATTTGGGATGGATATATATATATTTCATATATAATATATAACATTATATACATATAATTTGGGGGTATATATATTCTCTCTATATACACATACAAATACATACACACACATGTATCTTCCATGTCTGTTCTTATTTTTTTGACACAGAGAATATAGTTATAGTAACTATTACTATATATGCATTGCTGAGTGTTGGATATTTTTATGTTTCTGTAAATATTCTTGAGCTTTGTTCTCTGACACAGTTAAGTTACTTGGAAACAGATACTTTAGGCCCTCTTCCTTCTTAGCCTTGACCTCCTGGGTTCAAGCAATCCTTCTGCCTCACACTCCCAAGTAGCTGGGGACCACAGGAGTGGCCACCACACATGGGTAATTTTTAAATTTTTTGTAGAGATGGAGTTTCACTATGGTGCCTCGGCTGATCTCAAACTCCTGGGCTCTAGTGATCCTCTGGCCTCGGCCTCCTAAAGCGCTGGGATTATAGGCGTAATCAAGAAACACAAATGATAACAAGAAACCCCTCTTAAGATCTGTCAGGCAGGACTAGGGCAGTATTTACTTAGGGCTAATTATTTTCCATTGCTGCGGCAACATGCTTTTGAGTACTCTATCTAATGCTGTCCAAATCATGAGATGTTTTAGCCTGTCTGGCTGAAGCAGGCACTATTCCTGGTCCTGTGTGAGTACTGGGCATTATTCCTCCTATCACCATGAGTGGTTTTGTCCTCTGGCCTTAGACAGTTTCTTTGCATACATGTGCTTATCAATTCCTTTCCAAATATTGCAGATCTCTGGGATTTTCCCTTTATGCAGCATTCACCTATCTGTTACTTAGTCCTGTGAACTCTAGGTGTCTGGACTCTCAGCTCTGTCTTCTAACTCAGGGAGTGCTATGGGTCCTGCCTGGGTCTCTTTATTTATTTATTTATTTAGAGAGGGAATCTTGCTCTGTTGCCAGGCTGGAGTGCAGTGGCATGATCTCAGCTCACTGCAACCTCCAACTCCCTGGTTCAAGCGATTCTCTTGCCTCAGCCTCCCGAGTAGCTGGGATTGCAAGCACATGCCACCATGCCCAGCTAATTTTTGTATTTTTCGTAGAGATGGGGTTTCACTGTGTTGGCCAGGATGGTCTTGATCTCCTGACCTGGTGATCCGCCCGCCTTGGCCTCCCAAAGTGCTAGGATTACAAGTGTGAGCCACCGCGCCCATCCAGGTCTCCCTCTTTATGCTGTGGACTGGAATCTCTCTTTAGGGAAATTGTAGGGCTCACCTTATTTGTTTCCCATCTCTCAGGGCTCACTGTCCTTTGTTGCCTGATGGCCAGTGCTTGAAAATCACTGTTTTATGTATTTTGTCTGTGTTCTTTGTCACTGTTGCTCCAGGTGGGTAGATAAATCTGTTCTGTTACTCCATCTTGGATGAAATAAAAAGTCCAGGCGATATGTTCCCACCAAGTTTTAGCAGCCCTGCCTGGTGCTGACTGAGGTCTGCCCTTAGGTGAAAAGTTGTAAGAACAGAAAACTCAATGTGGCTCCTTTCTGCCAACTGTAGACACCACTTCAGCTTCTGCCTGCTTTTGACTACTCTCCAGTCCTTTAAGACACATGTTTTTAAACTCCTTCCAGAGTGCAGAGTGTTATCTGCAGAAGCCTTGCTCTGGTAAAAGAGATTCTGCCATATTATAAACCCAATGTCAATATTTGAATTTTTTTTTCTTCAAATCTACAATGTCACTGTTTTTTTCAGTTCCTCCCTGAAATTTCAGTTTGGTTTTACCTCCATGGGGGCATATAAGCCTATCGTTTTGTACTCCGTATCTAATGACGTCACTCTTAGTAGTACCAATGGATCTCCTTTGCTTTTTTTTTTTTTTTTGAGATGGAGTCTTGCTCTGTTGCCGGGCTGGCGTGCGGTGGCATGATCTTGGCTCACTGCAACCTATGCCTCCCGAGTAGCTGGGATTACAGGTGCACGCCACCACAGCTGGCTAATTTTTGTATTTTTAGTAGAATCGGGGTTTTACCATGTTGGCCAGGATGGTCTTGATCTCCTGACCTCATGATTTGCCCACCTTGGCCTCCCAAAGTGCTGGGATTGCAGGTGTGAGCTACCGCACCTGGCCCTCTTTTTTTTTTCTTAATTAATTTTTTTTAAAGTTTTATTTTTAATTGACAAATAATAATTGTATATATTGATGGAGAACAACATGCTATTTTAAGACGTCTATGCATTGTGGAAAGATCACATTGGGCTAATTAGCATACCCACCACTAGTATTTATCATTTCTTTGTGGTGAGAACATTTAAAATCCTTTCTTTTAGCTATTTTGAAATACACATTATTAGCTATAGTCATTATGCTGTGCAATAGATCACCAGAACTTATTCCTCCTGTCTGACTGAAACTGTGCCTGTTGACCAACATTTCCCCTTTCCCTGTCCAGCCTCCTCACCCCAAGCCTCTGGTAACCACTGCTGATGTGTTACCTGTTCTCTGTGCTGGTTCTCATTCATGGGGTTGTGTGTCCTCATCTGCTGAGTTAATGCCAGTCTGCTTATTATTCCCTCACAAGTAATTTGTTATTTTTGCCTAGAAGCTTGTAATTTTCTCCATATCAGGATATGCATAGGTGTCTGTGTTTTCTCATCTGCTCAACTCGGGTCTAGGTGAGCCCTTTCCATCTGCAGAAAGGTTTTTTTAATTAGTATGTATTTACTGCCTTTCCATCTATTCTGTTTTTTGAGCACCTATAATTCCAATGGAAAGTGTCCTAAATCTGTTTTCCACTTCACTTAATTCCTACCTTTTCCTTCATAATTCCCCTCTTTTAAATGTATTCGTCTATGCTTTAAGATATTTCTTGCATGTGATTTTTCAGGCTAACTCAGGTCTCAATAAAATACATATACTCTTCTTCAATTCATGTGGTCAATTGTTTGATAATCTTTGTTTTTATCCATAGAACGTCTTTATGTTGTCTTAAATCTCCTTAAGTATTCTTGTTCTTTAGATTTTTATCTGTGTCCTCTAGCAGTTTTATTTCTCTGGTTGTATATTTTTTTAAAAATAGTGATGGGATCTCACTATTTTGCCCAGGCTAGAGTGTGGTGGCTATTCACAGGTGTGATCACAGCATGCTACAGCCTCAAACTCATGGGCTCAAGCAATCAGTGGTGATTTACAGATGTGATGATAGCACACTACAGCCTCAATCTCCTGGGATCCAGTGATCCTCTTGCCTCAGCCTTACAGGTAGCTAGGAATACAGGCTCATACCACTGCACCCGGCTGATTGTGTATTCTATTTTTTCCTGATCATCCTCTCCCTGACTGCTGAGTCCCCTGAGAAAAGTCACTGTTTTTCCATTTAGGTTTAATGAGACTTAGGTATACTTGTTGCACTATCCTAAAATGCACGAATCTAGCAAGTATCAGAAGGCCAAATGGTTTTTATCTCCAACTGTATGTGGAACAATGTGATCCCAGGAAGCCTCTCTGTTATCTACTCTACCACTTCTCTTCCAGCCTCAAGAGCAGGGAAGACTTAGCCCACCTATTTGACTACTTCTTCACCTTTTAGAGAAGCCCACCCCACACATATAAAGACAGTGAGACCTTTTTCCTACCCCTGGAAATTCCACAAATCTTTGTGTGACAGGCTCTTTCCAGGACCCATCACTGTCCAGCCTCTGCCCCTGAACTCCTCTGGTACTATTCTTCAATTGCTCATCCAATCAGAGGAGAAAGCCTTACACCAATTTTCTCTGCCAGGGCTTAGTGAACTCCAAGGTCAGTATTGGAGACATTAGTTGACTATTCACTGTTTGTTCCTCCTTTCTTTCTTAATGAAAGCCAAGTTCTGTTCAAGGAAGCCATACTGCACAACTAAAAGTATTTACCTTCTCAGACCCCTGGCAACCTGGGTTGCCATTTGACTCTTCTAATAGCTATCAGGAGGTGCTGTGGAGAAAACTATTGTTTTCTTGATCAAAAGGGAGAGATTCTGCAAACAGCCAGGTATTTTGCCCTTTGCCTTTTACTCGTCTTTTTCCTGACAGGAAAAGCCCACCTTCCTCAACCATAAGGATGAAAACCAAATCCAAAGGCTGGTGCAGCACAGTGCCAGAGGGAGACTTTATCATTGACTTTCTCAAGCAGCTACATCAGCCTAGTTCCAGATATCTTGTTATGAGAAAAATAAATTGCTATTTAAACATTGTAACTACATCTGTTATATATGACTAAAACAACTCTGACTAAGTCCTCACTTATACCCAGCTGCTCCTAGGTTTTAGCAGCCACTTGACTTATGAGCCATTTCTCTGAGAAGTGGCAAAGAGCTTGGAGGTAAGAATGGAGAGGAAAGGAGCTGTATTTAGATTGCTGTGTTTCTGAATCCTCCTGGTACTGAAATGTTGAGTGAAGTTTAATCTTTAACATTCATTCATGCACCAAGATTCATTAAGTACCTACTATGTGCCATTCATGCACCAAGATTCATTAAGTACCTACTATGTACCAGGCATGGAGCTGGATGCTGGAAACAAAACAAAGATACCAACCCTGGCATCTTCTTCCTACCTTCATGTGTATCGTCCTCCAGGTCTGCCAGAGTGGGTGCATTAGGAAGTGAATACATGGAAGACTGGGTGAGCTGAGTCAGTTTTGAGATGCTGTTAATTGCCATGCTGCCCAGTGGAATGATGTGCTCTAGGGGAACATGCGTAAGGAGAATTACATGGAGTAACAGCCTAGTTACAATGGTTATCACAAGATTCTGCTTGAATAACCTAAGCCCAGGTATTGTTTGGCCCCATGGCTGAGGAATCTGATGGAAGGTGGGAAGAAGAGGATTACTCACTGCATATTCCAAAGTACCAACCTTTCATACAAAAAAGGAAGTGGGGGCCACGGGTGATGAAGAGCCCCCATTGTATGTATTAGGGTAGAGTTGAAGAAAATTTTCAAAGAACTGGGAAATCTGAGCTTAGGGACATCTGAAGGGTAAAGGACTTTAAAATGTTTTTGCTTCCTTTCTCCTTTGTTTAGCAAGTATTCTGCATAAACATTTTCTGAAGGAGTAATAGCTTTGATTATATAATGGACCCCTTCTATTCTTCTTGTTATAAGCTTTCATGATAAAAAATTTCCTCCCTTCTCTTTATCATTTTCCCTTACTCAGTGACAAGAATTTGGCAGCCTTCTTGCTTGGTTCTAGTCTTCTGTGATTAGGGTGTACATACAGACTAGGAAGCTGCATATTTTCTTTATTTGACTGCTGAAAAAACTGGAATGGCTTAAAGCAATAAAACAACCTGTGTATAGACCATGGAATCTCTAAGAAGAAAAGACCACTAAACAGGCAAACAGCAGAAGATGCCTCTGTTGCCTTTTCTGTCACTGACTTAGAGTGTTCAGTATATAATGGTTATGGTAATGGGATAAGAGGACTGGGCTTGGGGAGATTAAATTAGAGAAGGTTTTACAACAATGAACTGGGACTCATTCATGAAACTTTTATTCTCTGAAGCAGGCTTGTGAGGGGGCTAGCCTGTTCCAAGGATGTAGGCCAGGGAGAGTCTGCCAGTTGGCTTAGTCTCTGTCCCCTCTGTGTTGCTCCAGATACCAAAAGCCACAGCCATGTTCTGATGCTGGTGACAAGGATGGTTTCTAAGCCATAGGAGGAAATGATTCTAAGATAAAAACTAATGTTCAATATTCACTAGCAAGCTATAAAAAAGTACCTCAGGCTGGGCACGGTGCCTCACACCTGTAATCCCAGCACTTTGGGAGGCCGAGGTGGGCAGATCATGAGTTCAGGAGTTTAAGACCAGTCTGACCAACATGGTGAAACCCTGTCTCTACTAAAAATTCAAAAATTAGCCAGGTGTGGTGGCACATGCCTGTAATCCCAGCTACTCAGGAGGCTGAGTCAGGAGAATCTCTTGAACCCAGGAGGCAGAGGTTGCAGTGAGCAGAGATCGCACCACTGCACTCCAGCTTGGGCAACAGAGGGAGACTCCATCTCAAAAAAAAAAAAAAAAAAAAAGGACCTCCCAGCAGTGCAAGACAGGAAGACTTTGGAAATCACCCAAACAGGGAACTCAGGTGTGTAGGTAGAAGGCCAAGGCAATGAAGGGGAGAAGTCTGCTCTGTAGATATGCAGTGCAACAGAAGTCACAGTGGGGAAATGTAGGGTACTTCCCAAGGCCACAGTAGATTTGGTTGGAGTCAGAGACAATAATGGACTGGAGGGGAGGGACTGGGGAATCTGTGCCAGGAATGGGCTGGGCTCCTGTGGCTGGACAGGGCTTTCTAGCCTATGAAATGTTTTCAAGAGTCTTCACCTAAATGTTCAGCATTGCCTTTCACGCCTACGTAGTACTTAACAATCTGACATGTACAAACTTGTGAGTTCCCACATCCTCACACACGTTTTGTCCTAGACACATTAAAGGATAAAGATGGCAGCCTGTGAACTGAGATAGCTGGTGACTTAGGCTGAGGTGATGTGAAGGAGAGAAGCAAAGATTCTGGCTTGAGGGTTAGGGCCCTGAGTTCTTTATGATGGTGGGAATAAAGGAAGGAGCCTGAAAGAGATTAAGTGGCCCCCATCATAAACACTAGAGACTGTCAATGCAGCCTACCCTGAGGGGTCTGCTCCAAGGTGGAGTCTTCTGAGGCTTTACGTTTGAGGTAGCTAGGGTTTTTTATGTAGTAATTAATGATTTTCTCCACCCGATTCCTACAGGTAGACTCTACATTGAACTTCCAGTTCCATACTGCTAGACTGTCGTGGGGTTTGTGGTGGGTGAAGCAATGATGGTATCTGTTAGTTTTGGGACATAATCACAGCTTCTGGACATGGCACTTGAGGAGTACCCATGAAAACCATCCAGATTCAAAGACTCAAAAATCAAAGGGCCCTCAGAGTTGCCCCATTCAATCTCTCAGCCAGGGAAATGTTCCCCTACAGCAAGGAGACTGACTCACCATCCAACTTCACACTCCATGTCATGTGGAAGCCATTGGTCATCAGGTAAAAGTTCTTCACATCTTCAGGCATCACACAGTTATTCTTCTAGAATCATAAAGCAGCTAAGTGTCAGGTCAGGGCTGGGAAAGAGGGTACAGGGCTATACCTCAAGGCATTGGAGACATGTTTACCATGTTATAGGCCCCTGAAATAGGAAGGCTCTGATAGTTAACTACAAAACTCTATTAGAGAGGCACTGGGGTCTTACAAGCAGAGTTCCAGTTTGCCTTTTTTTTTCTTCAGCAGCTAAAGCAAACCAGGTATCTGCTCTGCCATGATTATGCCTCAATGGGCAGCCACCTGGCAACGGAGCTCAAAGGGATCAAGCTGAAGAGGAGACAGGGGAACATGGTGAGAGGGGAAGTCCTAGGTAAAGTCTGACAATGTTCAAGCAAAGCAATCAATGCCATATATTTCAGACCCATGCTCATATATTATTTTCTGAAACAAATTATTGGACAAATAAGAGCATCTTAAAAGTGAAGAGTATATCATTCCCAGAAAACTTATGCAATGTCTAAGTTCTGACAGCTCTTAGAAGGTAACCATATATACTCAAATATTTCACATATCCGTGGATACGAAATCATCCAAAACTGTTGGATAAGAAATCATCCAAACTGTTGGCGGAGAGAACAAAGAAGGAGCTTAGTATCCTTTCAGGAGATACCAGGAACAAGCCCTATATTCTAAGTAACACATCTGTGTGTGTGTATGACCAGTCTTCCCTAGCCAACTCAAATCCCTGGAGTGTGCAAAGGATGAGTTCTCCAATTCATTTCCTAGGCCCCGTAGAGTGACTTCTTGATGTAGCTATAGAGGCAAAGAGGCAACATGTTAATAACTATCCAAGCTTGTGGCTTACCGGACCCTTCTGAGATGTGATACTGACAACTGCTTATGTCAGGACTGCATTAGGTCATCCCGTCAGTCAGTTCTAGGTACCCAATGCGTGGGAAAGCATCGTGTAGAAGGATGATCTGAGTTCACTTCCCAACTCTGCCAGTAACTGAGTGACCTTGAACACGTCACTCTGTGAATCTATGTTCAAGAATAAACTCTAAGACTTAATATACAGAACACTGGCAGTACGAGGGGGTGTGAGTTTGACAGGAAGAGAGGAGACTAGGAAATTATTATTATTCACAGCCACAGCATCTTCAGGAACTATAAATAAAGAGAAACCTTCAAGCTTGCCAGAGATTTTAAGCAGTGTTTTTAGATTATTAAATGGACAACAGCTGTCATTTTAATGAAACATGTTTTAAATTTCCTTTATTTATGAACTAAAATGTATGTTCTGATCAAGTTTTGTTTTTTCTGTGTCCACTAGTTAGTACCCAGTCTCACAGATGTGACTCTCAGACTCCTTGGACTAATTTGTTTTCCTACTATTTGGAGTTAGGGGCTTGCTCCTATTGCCTCCTGTGTGGCCATATTATCTGTGCTTTCAGAAGAAAAAATGCACTTGCAAAATGCCTTTCTCCCACCCCTAAAACCCTGGTACAGGAAGCCTACAGTTACCAGTGTTCTGACGAGGTCCTTGCTCCTCTTTTCACTCCAAAAGGCCAGCATCCCTCTGACATTTTGATCACTAGTGCCATCTAGTGGTGAAGACGAGGAAACTACTGTCTGTCAGCCTTTCTTAATGGGGATTCCATGAGATCCAGGCTGAGGGCTGGTGGACTATTTGGCATTGTTCATATGTAAGTCAGGCTGAATAATTTCAGTAATAGTAATTATAACATTTGTTATGGTATTTATTTCACCCAAGAAAGAGATTTTGGTATTATTTTATACCAGTAATTTTTACAATTATTCAAAATTCATACAAATAGAAAAAAATCTGTGAAATCCAATATTTAATACATATTTCACATACTAATATACATAAAAATTTTCAAGTAAACCAACTTCATGAAAAACATCAATCCCTCACTGTCATTCTAATTTAAATGACTAGCAGCCTTGGCTCTGCTGCTCTTTGCTGCAGACCCTTCTGCCCCAAGCACCCCGGGACAGTTGCTGGGTCTGCAGTGCTCCAGCCTTCCTACTGCATGTAGCTCTTCCGAGTGGGGCAAATCCAGGAAGAAAGGTTCACAACCGAAACTTAAATGACCACATACCTGCTTCAGCCCTTTCAGGATGGAAAGAAACGTAAACAACCTCTCCTAATTTTAACATATTTCACCATTTTTTTTTTTTTCTGGCCAGTGACTCAGTTACTGCCGTTTTAAAATTTCTCTTCTAACCAACCTGAAAAGAGTTTGCTTTTCCACAGGGGGCAATCTGCCCACATCAGAGGGGTTCTTCCTGCACAGATTCATGCTCAGTCTATATTTTGGGGGCTGTAATAGGAGGGTGGGGAGGAGGAAGATTGGCAGAAAGTAAATGGACAAGGGTATTATCAGGATTGGAGGGAGGGTCTGGGGAGAAAGCCAACAAGGAAGAATAACACCAACTGGTGTCTGAAATAACAGCTGATTGCATCAAGATGGTATCTGCGATCTCTAGCCCAATGGTGATTCTGTCACATAGTTCCTAATTTTTAATCTTTCTTTCTTCTCCTGAGACAATTGACAATGGTTTCTTTAAGCTACTTTAGAAAGAGTCCACCACAAGCTCTGTTACTCTTTCACTGGATGAAGGACCTGAGCCACATTTTTGTTTTGGGAGCTATCAACAAGACTCCAGAAAATCAATAGCACTGGGCCTTAAGGGAAGGGCTAGGGGCTGTCCATTGCCTTCTACTCACCTTTTCTACTCCTGGACAATCCTGCACCCCATTGTTCCCCTCACTTTTAGAGGCCACTTCCCAACTTGGGAGCAGATGCAGGATCAGGTCAGCATAGGGGCCACAGGACAGAAATAAATGTTTCTGTAGGTGCTGGTCCACGCTGAGCTGGCTCTCTGGCTGGTCTGCAGCCAGGGTCAGGTGAAGAGCTGCCCAGGACGTCCATCAAGAAGCGTGAGAACATTGCTGGAAATTGTGGCAGTGAGCACAACGGCACCTCCTGAAACTCTTCTCAGGGAGGACATTCCACGAAGTGGAGGAAAACCTGGATGAGCTGTGGAGGGATGGTGTGAGATCCCCAAGAGAATTCCCGAATATATTCTCAAACTTCCACCTTAGGAGAGGTGGAGGGCTTCGTTAACTGAACGCTTTTGTTTTGCTGAGGTTGCAGAATCTCCTGCAATTAGTGCTGGACATTAAAATGTAAACACAAGTCCAAAAGACAAGGTTTCTAAGAAAACTTTCACTGTCCTGTTAAAAGGTGACAGATGTGCCTAGTAACATCCCTTACCTCTTTTTTGTGTTTTGAGCTTGGAAATGATAGCTGAGACTTTAGCAGTTATTTTGCTACTATGATATTGTGAAATATATAGTTGGTCTCTGTCCCAGATTCCTGGCATACAATTTCTAAAATCCTTGGAATCTCCAAAGTGATATCTTTTTGTGTGCTAAAGAGTTCACAAATGACTGGCATCTCCAAGGTAGCTGCAGGATGGGGGATTATCACCAGAACAACCAAGGCAGGGAGTGGGTTGGAACTTTCAGCCCCACCCCCTAACCTCAGGGAGGGAAGAGGGGCTGAAGGGTAAGTTGATCATCAATGACCGATGGTTTAATCAATCATGTCTACATAATGAATCCTCCATAAAACGGCAAAAGACAGAGTTTGAAGAGCTTCCGGACAGCTGAGCACATGGAAGTTCCTGTAGGGTGGCGTGCTCGCGGATGGCAGGGAGGTTCCCCGCCCTCCCACCACACCTTGCCCTGTGCATCTCTTCATCTGTTTCCTTTGTAATACACCTGTAAATGTTAAGTAAGTGTTCCTCTGAGTTCTGTGAGCCACTCCAGCAAATTAACTGAACCTGAGGAGGGGGTCATGGGAACCCCAATTTATAGCTGGTGGGTCAGCAGCACAGGTAAAACAACCTGGGACTTGCAGTTGGCATTGGAAGTGAGGGGCAGTCCTGTGAGACTGAGCCCTTAACCTACGGGACCTGACACTATCTCCAGGGAGACAGCGTCGGAATTGAATTGGAGGACACCCAGCTGGTATTCACTGCAGAACTGATTGCTTGTTGATGTGTTTGAGAACTCCCCCTTGCAACACACACACATTTGGTCATGGAAATTTTCTGTGTTGATTGTTGCGGAATAACAACAGAGGAAAAACAGTGTGTGTTTCTTCTATTCAGAGGCACCATAAAGAGAAAGGACAAAAGAATTACAGAGATAACAGCTTAACATTATCAGGGCTGATGAACCAACTGCAACTGTCTACCTCAGGACTTGTTACATGAAAAGTATCAATTCCTATTTGCTTAAGCTATTGCTAGTTTATCTTTCCTTAAGTCAAACATATTCCTAATTTATATAGAGACAAATGTTGAACAGGTAAGTGTTGTGGAGCTGAAGGGGCAAAGAGAACTAGGAGGGAAGAGTCTGCGAGGAAGGAAAGAATCAGAGTTGTGCTTCTGCATCCAAGGGAGGAGAGGCTAGCAGAGAAGGGACTGGCTAACTGGGAGGCATGCAGGAGTGATACCAAGTGAGATGAAGTCAGTCTTTAGCCGTGGAGAGGTCCTAGTGATTTTGACAGAATGGTATCCAAGAATGGTGGTGGCTAAAGAGAGGCTGTGGCAGGATGAATAACTGAGAAATGAAGGATGATAATTCGTAAACTATGGCCACTGGATCTACCCTGTCACCTGTTTTTGTAAAAATGTTTCATTTGAACATAGTCACACCCATGCATATCAGTACTGTTGATGGCTGCTTTCACAGCTACAATGGCAGAAATGAGTAGTTGTGACAGAGACTGTAACACCAGAGCATAAACTATCTGGTCCTCTAAAGAAAACATTTCCCAACCCCTGGTGTAGACAATTTTTCTACACACTTGGCATGAAAAGGAACAAATAGCTAAATAGCTAGAAGGAGACATATGTTGAAGGTTTTTTGTTTTTAATTTTAAAGAGATGGGACGCCCCTACGGGGAAGCTGCCAGCAGAAAGAAGTGAAGTGCTAGAGAGAAGGGTTGACTGGTGGAGAACATAGAGAATCTCCCAGGCAGAGTAAGAGCATGAGGTGAGGGGGTCACTAGTGACACGGTGTCGCAGGGTGATTTCTTCTACTGGAAATGCTTATCATAAATTCACAGTGGGGCATGTAAGGAACAGCTCTTCAAGAAGGTTCAGAACCCACTCTGTAGACTGTAGAAAAACTGAGCCTGAAAAAAAGGAGATATTCTGCTAAATCGTTTGGTTTCTGTGGACCATGGTTTCACTATCAGTAAACTGAATTTTTATCTGGGGATTGGAGGGTGTAACCAATCAAGAATTGTAAAGCCGTCTGCAACTATGAAATGTCACTGAAATGCTTAATAATAACAGAACTCTCCTGGCATCAGGATGCCATTAGAACTAAGAGGCAGATGCTTTCCTGGTGCTTGAAAGATGAAAAGCTCAGTGTAGGCACTGGGCCTTACTATGGACCATCATGACAAAAGGCAGGTAGCAGGCACAATGAACATGAATCATACAGCTGCACAGAGGCAGGCAAACTGAAACTGTGTATTTAAGAAGAAAAAATGGTGAAATATATAAAAATGGAAAAAGGTTGTTCATATTTCCCTCCAACCTCAGGGGACTACAGCAGGTATATGATCATTTAGGTTTCAGTTGTCAACTTTTCTTCCTGGATTTGTAGTACAGAATCATGAAAGACTAGATTACAGCTGGAAGAGTCCTTCAATAACACTGATTTCATGATTTCAAATTACTTATTTCATACATGATGAACATGAGTTCCAGAGAAGTTACATGACTTAGCCAAGGGTCCAGAGCTGGCATAAGACTTCTACTCTAGTCTGTTTTTCCCACATCAAAATGCTTCCATATCCTTACTAGTATAATGTATCTGTGAGCTTCCCACAGAGCTATATTTGCCCAAAGGGGCAGAGGGCCCCTTCTCAGGGGGCTTTATCTGAATGTATTTATGCAGCTGTGGTTACCAGGTACATCAGAGGGAGGTTGGGCTCTAAATGAGGTGTCTCCAAGGAGTTGGGTCTCTAGGGTCAGTTCTCTAGAGAAGCAGGAATTATCAGCCCCTTGGGATCCTCCTGCTTCTCTGGTACAGGCACTTCTGGAAGCAGGCACACAGCAGGGGTGGCTTATCAAGCCTGCTCCTGTGGCAACATGCTCTTTAGTAACCTCTAGGGTGAGAAAGTGAGACAAGGGAGTTTCAGAGCAGTCCAAAACTTCTACCCTCCACTGCTTAGGAGACAAAAGTAGGTAAGAAAATAGCACATCGAGTATTGCCCCATTTTGAATGAAAAAATTATACAAAAACTTGTTTTAAACTTTTGGGGTTATGAGTCCCTTTGAGAATCTGAAAAAGCCTTTTCCCCCTACCTCCCCCAAAAAACATATCTGACATACATTTCAAGGAGTCCATGGACCACTTCCCATTCATGGACTTGTAAGGTATCCCATTGCCTACCCTCCACCCACACACATAACCAAAACTACACCAACTGTGGTTATGTCTAGGTGGTAAAATCCTAGAAGACCTTTTTTAAATTCTTTTTTTTTTGTATTTTCAATACACCTTTTTGACTGTTTTGTTTAGCATAATCAGAAAAAAATAGTGTTACATAAAAACTGAATCTTGAAACAAAAGTACACACCCCAAAGGCTATCTTCCAAGCATCCCACAGGCCTTTACAAGCCCAGACATGCCAAACTCAGGTGAAAGAAACATTTTTACATTATTGATCCTAATACTGTTAGTATCTTATTTTTAAAATTTTTATTACTTATTTATTTTTTAAGAGACAGGGGTTGAGGAGTTGTCTCATTATGTTGCCCAGGCTGTTCTTGAACTCCTGGCCTCAAGCAATCTTCCCACCTTGGCCTCCCAAGCAGCTGGGACTGCAGGTGTGCACCACCACACTTAGCTTGTGTATTAGATTTGGCATATTTGAACTTAGATCTGAGATACTTTAACTAAAGAACTCAAAGGAAAATTCCAAATCTATAAATCTGATAATTTTAGGTACCTTCACAGGTATTCTCCCAACTGAATATGTCTGAAGAAAATGTTCCATTAACTGTCTCAGTTAGTTAAAAATCTCTTTCTCTCATGCTTACCCCTTAATCCTTTTAGACCTCTGATGGCTATTTATCTAGCACTACAACTGCATTTCCCTAAGTGTCAGTCTAAGCTAAAAGGGAACTCAATAAAGTTGCATTGTCCAGGAGGCAGATTAGACCCCAAGAGATCCCCTGCAGACTCTATCCCTGAAACACAGCTATGGAAGGCAGCTCCAAATGAAGAAACTACAGTATAAGTAAAACTGGGACAAATGGGTAATGTCTTCTCCTTAAAGAGTTCTAAGGACTGTATGGTACAAGACACAAGGAAGAATATGCCTCAGAAATCACTTTATTCCAAAGAAACTTAATAGTGTTCCACCCTAGACAAGGCATTCCTGTGCTCTCATCTTCCAATGCAGGTCCTCAGCAGACACGAAAACACCAGGATCTGACTCTCACAAAAGAGCCCTGAGGCAGTTCTTTTTTTTTTTTTTAAAACAGAGTCTTGCTCTGTCGCCCAGGCTGGAGTACAGTGGCGCAATCTCAGCTCACTACAACCTCTGCCTCCCGGGTTCAAGCGATTCTTCTGCCTCAACCTCCTAAGTAGCTAGGACTACAGGCGCGCACCACCACACCTGGCTAATTTTTGTATTTTTAGTAGAGACGGGGTTTCACCATATTGGCCAGGCTGGTCTCGAACTCCTGACCTCGTGATCTGCCTGCCTCAGCTTCCCAAAGTGCTGGGATTACAGGCGTGAGCCACCGCGCCGGCCTGGCAGTTCTACTAATACCTAAAGGGCTGACTTAAGCCCAAAAAGAATCAAGAGGAATGTCCTCCATCATATCTTTTCTCTTACTGTTATTTATAACAAACAAAACAACATCAATGAGGCCACAATGGCATAGTCACAGAAGTACCAGGAACAGGTGTTGACAGGATCAGCCAATAAGAGTTTCATAGACACTGTTCTGGAATTCCCTTTTCCTATGATGGGCTGTGAGTGGAAATGGAGGTGGGGGCTGAACGAGAAGAGTTGGGATGCTGCTGAGCTGAGGTCCTGGATCAACTCCCAGTTACTGAGCTGCCAGAAAAGCTGCTGCTGGCTCAGCCCAGGGAGGGGAGTCAGGCTGGTAGGACTGCTTGCCTGCTGAGGGCAAGACTCCCATGGTGTTGTCCTCTGTCAGAGGGGCAGCCTGGCAGAGCAGAAAGGACATGTTCTTAGAGGCAGGCAACTGTAAGTTCAAATTCAAGCTCTGCCACTTGGTCGCTATGTGACTCAGAACAAATCAATCTTTCTCTCTCTCTCTCTTTCTCTCTCTTTCTTTCTTAAAAGAAACAAGATCTCTCTATCTCTTTCTTTCTTTCTTTCTTAAAAGAAACAAGGTCTTGCCCTGTTGCTCAGGCTAGAGTGCAGTGCTGTGATCATAGCTCACTGTAGCCTCAACCTCCTGGGGTCACAGGATCTTCCCACCTCGGCCTCCCCAGTAGCTGGGAGTAAAGGTGTGTGCTACCATACCTGGCTAATTAACATTATTGTTTTGTAGAGTTGGAGTCCTGCCATGTTGTCCAGGCTTGTCTTGAACTCCTGGCCTCAAGTAATCCTCTGCCCTGGCCTTCCAAAACACTGGGATTACATGCGTAAGCCACTGTGCCAGCCAAATTCTTTAAACTCTTTCAGCCTCAGTTTCTTCATCTATAAAATGGAGATACCAATACCCACCTTGCAGGGTTATTATTTATTTAGTATGGAATGACTTATGGGGTAAGTGTTAGCAGGTGCTCATTAAATGGTAGGGCAATTTGTTGCCACTTGCCCCAGTTAAATCCATTTGTTACTCTACAGCCACAGTGGTCTTTCCAAAGTATAAATCTAACTTCATAGTTCCCTAATTAAAACATTTCAATGACTCCCCTTTGCTTCTAAGATAAAGAGCAAACTGCTGAAAACCTATGAAGCCCCAGATTTCCTGGTCTTTGGTGAGCTCTCTCTCCCTTGCTCTCCTGTGCTCCTTCTTCGTGATCTCAGAACAATGTAATCCTTCCCATCTTGAAGCCTTCATAGAGGTTGAAAGTCTCATCTTCCTAGATCCCATACACCTGGTTAACAACTTCTTATTGCTTCTTTGGGAAAACTTTTCTCAACCTCTAGACTAGAGCAGGTCTCCAGGCAATGCTCCCTTTGCCTGTCTTTCACAGTACTCAGGCCAGTTTGTAATTACATTCATAACAATCCATACTATGTCTTAGGCAGTAAGATCAAGGGGTAAAAACAGTGCCTTTTAAAAAAATTACCATTTAATCCCCAGAGCTCAATACCAAGCACAATGTCTGGCCCACTGTAGAAGCTTAAAACTTTTATTGAATAAAGAATTGAAGTTCAGAGGAAAATTGGAAAGCATTAGCCTTTAATCTGCTTAGTAGTTATGTGCAACACTTAACCATGTTCTGGACAGCATGACACTTATTAATACATATTCTTTTCTTTCCTTAATTGATTTTTAGCTTTGTTGTATACAACTTTGAATGTCCAGTGCTTCTATAGGAGAGTGGGGCTCAGGGGAGACACTCCATGCTGGGTAAGTGGCATAGAACAAAAGGAACTGTTAAGTGGGCTGGACAGGAACATAGAAAAAGTAAACTCTACCTTGAAAGCAGCTGTGGTCTGAGATAAGTATTTTTCCTCCCCTAATCTTTCCTTCTCAGGGACATTTACATTGACCTCTCTTTGTTGGGAGGTAAAGACTTCACATGGCAACACTTACTTGTTCCCAGGAAGAAATCATATGACGTTCAGCAGGAGGCTTTTCTATGATGGTCACCTCTGTCACACCTGGGGAAGATTCTGGAGGAGAAAAAAGAGTCTGTAGAGTCGCAACTGGTCCACTGTCATACATTTCTATGTTAGATGTTGACTAACTATTGATGACTGCTCTAAGAACACCGAATCCTTCTCATAAACACTTATTACCTCTGTGATCAAAGCGGAGAACTGGTTGGCCTCTGAAAGGCATGGTCCCATAACCTAGGACAATGTAGTCTACCTGACAGAAAGGATATGCACAGACTGTGCTCTATACTGTCATTGCTCAGTCATTAATCTTATTGAACAAAAAACAGAGATTGTAGATTCCTAGTGATTTCACACTGAAATTCTCAGTGAGCTACATCTATATATTCAGGATAAAGTGAAAAGAAATGGAGAATAGCAACCCATTAATTTTTATAAGACATAAAACTTGCTTATTAACTTTTCTTCTAAATAAAACTCATCTTGGACATAACCTTCTACTCTATGAGGTCTAGGATTTCAAAGCTGGGTTAACAAAAAAAATAGATTCTATCCAAAAATATACTAAGACAAAAAGTAAGTCATATTTCTAAATCCTTGAAGTAGGAAAAGGTCTCCAAATAATCTGGTCTGCTTCTCTTTGTAGAGCTGTGTTCTATCATTCACTCTGAGGGAGAGCAGAAGCCACCTGGGAATACTACAGAGTTCAATACCTCCAACAACATTCTCCATTTGTCTGTGGCCATGCAGACTCAAGATTCTGAAATCCTTAATCCAAAACTTAAAATTTGTCATAAAAGCTGTTATGACTTGAATTCTGTCCCCACCTGCACAAAAAAAGATATCGAAGTCCTAACCCCCAGTACCTCAGAATATGACCTTATTTGGAAATAAAGTTACTGCAGACATGATTAGTTTAGATGAGGTCATAGTGAAGTAGAGTAGACCCCTAATCCAGTCATTGGTGCCCTCATAAGCAGAACAACATGTAGCTAGGTGTGGCAGTGCATACATGTACTCCCAGCTACTCGGGAGGCTGACACAGGAAGGTAGCTTGAGTTTTTAAAATCTCTAGGACTGTGACAGAGACTTCTAATCATTTTATGTGGTTCACTGATCCTATAATTAAGCCAGTGCCCTTTTCATGCGTATAAAATTTCCTCCAAGTTGCCAGAAACTCAAATCTTGGGATGCAGCAATAGCCCAATATAGGAACTAAGAATTCTAGACTCTACCTATTCTAGTCTTGCTTTATACATTTACTAGTTGTATGACCTTAGATGGGTCTTCACTTCCCTTCACCTTCAGCAAGTCACAAGAGACCTTAGGTTTGAAAGAGGACACATACAATTATTTACTGTTTATAACAGGCCTACATGGAAGGCTTATAGGTTCAGACAAAACTACTGTGATGCTACTGCAGATGGGGTCATATCATACTTAAGCTTGGAATACTCTCATGATAAGGTAATTGGCCAACATATTGACTTTAATAAATTTCAGATAATAAGTTGCTTAGGAAGTATCCATTGTAGAGACTCCTATATCCAATATAGTACTTCAGAATTGGTGAGGAGAAGGTATTGGGGATATGGAAGAGAAGGGCATGCAGTAAATTATGTTTGTATAATGCTCTGTTACAGGAAATTGGCATAAATTATCCCATTTAATCTTTCAACAATCTTGTGAAGCAGGTATCCTTACCCTCGTTTTAAAAGATAAGGAAACTGAGGTTCAAGGGTTTGAAATAATTCATAAAATGAAATATCTGACCAAAGTTGTGGACACCAAGCCTAATGCTGTTTTTATTATGTTGTCTTAGTAGCCTATCATTTTGGTGAGATAACTAAAAACATTTGCGGATGTATTGGAAAGCAACAGAAATTATACATTGTCCTTGGCCTATCAAGATGCCATATATGAGAAGTAATATCTGAATAGGCATAGCCATTCTCCCTGTCCTGCCTTTGTGACCAATGACAAGCATTTGTCAGCCGCCTGGCTGGAATAACCTGCATGGCAAGAGTAAGAGATATGAAACTCAGATCTTTAGACTCAGCACAGTCCACTCTAAGTAACTGTGTGATATGCCGTGGATTAAAACTCTCTGTGGTAGCTTACTCCAAAGGTGGGTGCTATCAATTCCTTCCTTCCCTGCATGCCCATAGCACTTCTCATTGACAAGTGAGTCTATTTCTCCAACTTCTTGAGTTTGGAGTTGGCCTGAGAGTGCCTTGCCCTATAAAATATGGTGAAGAAATGGTGGGCCAGTTTTGGACTTAAAATTTAAGAGAACTGGCAGTTTCCCTTTGCCTTTCTTTGATTCCTGAGCCATCACATACTAAATCCAAGCTACTCTACTGGAGACAGAGGGCATACTGAGAAGTACTGAGCGGGGCAGACATTCGAGTGCAGAAGCCATTTGATGATTCCAGTCCCAGCTGCTATCTAACTGTGACCACTTGAGAGACCCCAAATGAGAACTACCCCAGCTGGTTCAGTCAATCCACAGAGCTGGCAGAGATAGTTAATTGTTGTTTCAAGCAAACTATGTTTTGGGATGATTTGTTATTCAGTTATTGATAACTGGAATATATTTTCCAGTGAAAAACAGTCTCTCTGAGGTATTTAATGAGGACCTGCTATGTCCTAAGCTTTGGGAAATTACTACCAGAGATTAGGAATTTAAGTAGGAGATACTGTTTGAAGAAACTTATTGCTTAGTTAGATAAATAAGGCAAACATGAAACAAAAGTGAAAACTCAAGATAATATGTAATTATGTGTTAAACTAGGTGATACTGACTGACAGGGCCACAGGAGTTGAAGGCAGAGGGAGGTTGACAAAGACTGAACAAGTGATAGAAAACATCAGAAACTGCACACAGCTGATCTGGGCCTTGAAGGATGATGTGGCAGTTACTGCAGACCGGCTCAATTAACACCTCCTCCTGTTCCCCGCTGGCGTGCTTTCCTTTATTTTAGACTGGTTAGCAAAAGACCTCATTTCCTAGATTCCATTGCAGTTAGACTCCCTCTGGTGACTGGGATGCCTGCATGGAAACATACACTCATAAAGCCTGGAAGAAGGGAATCAGTAGATGAGGAAGAGAAAAAATGGGGAGATCAGGTCTTCTTGCAAGCATAGTTTCACAGGTGTTTTGGTCTCAGAGGGCCGGAAGTTGTAGCGGTGGCTGTGGCAGCAAAAGCAGTAACAGTTTTTGATTCTGCAGCTATCCTTCTGGGAGTCTGAAATTTTGAGAGCTGTGGCTGGTTGTTTTGCCAATGTGAACAGCATTCAATAAACCCCTGGAAGTTGAGGCTTAAACAGGCTTTCCAGGGAAGAAACACTACATATATATTGTTGAATTTCACTATTTAAGAAGTGTATTCTATGTGACCACTGACAAGATGGAACGCTTCAGAAGATTGTGCATGGATTCCTCTAGATTCTACCTATGTATTTTCCTCCTGCTAATCAATGTAATAAATTATACTTGGGATTAAAACTGTTTCTGAGTCCTGTGAGTCTTTGCAGTGGATCTGGTGGATCTATATGTGTGGGTGGTTGTGGGATCCCAGAAACATGCATCCATCTTTTTATATTTAACATTTCTGATTGAGTTTGATTTAGGTATGTTTTTGAAAGCAGCAAATAACTGGGTTTTGTGAGTCAGGTTTAAATCTTTTTCTATTAGTAGGTGACATAAACCTATATGTACATACTTAAGAGACAGGGTCTTACTGTCACCCAGGCTGGAGGGCTGTGATGTAATCATAGCTCACTTCAGCCTCGAACTTCTGGACTCAAGTGATCCTCCCATCTTAGCCTCCCAAGTAGCTGGGACTACAGGTGCACACCACCACACTGGGCTAATTTTAAATTTCTTTTTTTTTTTTTTGTAGAGACAGGGGTCTCACTATGTTGCCCAGGCTTGTCTTGAACTCCTGGTCTCAAGTGATCTTCCCACCTTGGCCTCCTAAAGCACTGTGATTACAGGCATAAGCTGCCATGTCCAGCCATGACCATTTATATTTATTGTTATGACAGATATGTTTGGTCTAAACTCTATCATAATAGTTCATAATTATGTGTGCTGTATTACACTTGTGTTTCTTTTTGACGTGCGTATCATTTGCTCTTTTCTTTCAAACATTTAGGGGAACGTTTTCTATTGCTGAGTAATAAATTACCACGAATTAGCAGCTTTAAACAACACCCTTTTATTAAGTCATGGTTCTGTAGCTCACAAGTCTGGCATGGCATGACTGGATTCTCTGCTTAGGCTGAAATCACTGGTCTTTCTTTACACCAGGTGTGCTGACAGGTATTTTAACTGTTCTATTTTCATCTGGATCTTGGGGTCATCTTGGAAACTCATTTCTGTTATTGACAGAATTCAATTCCTTTTGGTTGCAGGACTGAAGTTTCTATTTCCTTGCTTGTTGTCAGCTGGGGCCACTCTCAGCTTGCAGAGGCCACCTGTATTTCTTGTTAAAAGGTCCCATCCATCTTCAAGTCAGCAACAGCCTAACAAATTCTTTTCCTGCCTCAAATCTCTTTGACTTCCCTGTTAACAGCTTGTTTTAAAGTGCTTATGTGATTAGATTGGGCCTACCTGGATAATCTTGCTTTTGCCATTTAATGTAACATAATTGAGGTGTGGTGTCTCATCATCTTCACAGTCCTGTGGATTAGAGTAGGAATTCTAATAGTACCGTGTTTAGAATTCCTTTTTAAAAATAGCTTTACTGAGACATAATTCGCATACTATAATTCACCCTTATAAAGTGACTTTTATATTCAGAGTTATGCATCCTTTCCCCCAAAAGAAACCCATACCTATTATATTAGCAGTCCCCTTTCCTACCAGCCTCTGGCAACCACTAATCTACTTTCAGTTTCTATAGATTGGTCTACTCTGGACATTTCATATAAATGGAATCATACACGTGGCTTTTGCAACTGGCTTCTCTCACTTTGATTTCAAGATCATCCATGTTGCAGGATCAGTACTTCATTCCTTTTTATGGATAATTTTTTTTTGTTATATGGATATATCACATTTTATATATCATCAATTGATGGATGTTGAGTTGTTTTCACTTTTGACAATTATGAATAATGCAGCTATGAACATTTATACGCAAGTGTTTTCATGTAAATATCTTTTCATTTCTCTTGGAGAAATGAAATCCAGAAAAGGAATCCAAAAATGGAATTGCTGGGACATATGGTAACTCTAATCTTTTGAGGAAGTACCAGACTAGTTTTCAAAGCTGCTGTGCCATTTTACATTTTACATCCCCACCAGCAGTGTATGATATCTCCATACCCTAACCAACAATTGCTGTATCTGTCTTTTTGACTACAACGATCTTAGTGGGTGTGAAGTGAAATCTCATTATGGTTTTGATTTGTATTTCCCTAATGGGCTAGTGGTGATAATCATCTTTGTGTGTGCTCACTGGCCATTTGTGTATCTTTGGAGAAATGTCTACCCTGATCCTTTAAAATTGAATTATTTGTCTTTCATTGAGTTGTAAGAGTTCTTTGCAGATCTGTAAGTCCCTTTTCATATATATGATTTACAAATATCCTCTCCTATTTTTTTGGATTGTTTTGTCACTGTCTTGACTGTATCCTTAAAAGCACATTTTAAATTTTGATTAAGCCCAATTTATCTATTTTTCTTTTGTCGCTTATGCTTTTGTAACCTAAGGCCTGTTTTCTTCCAAGAGTCTTACGGTTTTGGCTGTTACATGTAGGTCTAAGATACTTTTGGAGTTAATTTTTGTATATCATTTGAGGTAGAAGTCCAATTTCATTACTTTACATGTGGAAATCTAGAACCATTTGTTGAAAAACTATTTTTTCCCATTGAGAAGTCTTAACATACTTGTCAAAAATCAATGAATCAGGCTGAGTGCAGTGGCTCACACCTGTAATCCTAGCACTTTGGGAGGCCACAGCAGGTGGATCATGAGGTCAGGAGATAGAGACCATCCTAGCTAACATGGTGAAACCCCGTCTCTACTAAAAATACAAAAAATTCGCCGGGCATGGTGGCAGGCACCTAAAGTCCCAGCTGCTCAGCAGGCTGAAGCAGGAGAATGGCCAGAACCCAGGAGGCAGAGCTTGCAGTAAGCCGAGATCATGCCACTGCACTCCAGCCTGGGCGACAGAGCGAGACTCCATCTCAAAAAAAAAAAAAAAAAAAAATCAATGAATCATAAATATGATGTTTATTTTTGGACTTTCAATCTTATTTCATTGATCCAGATTTCTATTTTTATGCCACAACCACTCTGAAGACAACTGTGGCTTTAAATTTTTAAAATTGTAGTAAAATAAACATAACATAAAATCCATCACTTTGGTCAATTTTAAGTGTACAGTTAAGTGGCATAAAGTACATTCACACTGTTGTACAACCATCACCAGAACTTTTCCATCATCTCAAATATAGTATAGGGAAATGTGAGTAAGAGGAACTTTTTTCCTGTTTTGGAAAGAAAAGTTTGTCTTGGCTACTCTGGGTCTCTTGCATTTCTATATTATATTTTAGGATTAAATCAGCTTTTCGATTTCTACAAAACAGACAGTTGAGATTTTGATGGGAACTGCAGATCTGAGATTTGTAGATCAATTTGGGGAGTAACAGATTTTAACAATATTAACTCTTCCAATCCATAAACATGGTATGCCTTCTCATTTATTTTGGTGTTCTTTAATTTCTTTCCACAGTCTCATGTGCTTTTCAGTACATAGGTCATGAACATCTTGTGTTAATTTATTCCTATTTTATTCTTTTTTTTTTTTTGAGATAGGGTCTCACTCTTGTCACTTGGGCTGGAGTGCTGTGGTGTGATCATAGTTCACTGTAGCCTCAAACTCCTGGACTCAAGTGATCCTCCTGTCTCAGCCTCCTGAGTAGCTAGGACTAAGGCATGCACCACTACACATGGCTAATTTAAAAATATTTCATAAAGACTATGTTGCCCAGGCTGGTCTGCAACTCCTGGTTTCAAGCAATCCTCTCACTTTGGCCTCCCAGTGTTGGGATTACAGGTGTAAGCCACTGTGCCAGCTACATTTTATTCTTTTTGATACTACTGTAAATTGAATTGTTCTCTTAGTTTTATTTTTGTATTGTTCATTGCTGGTGTATAGGGTTTTTTTTGTGGATTCCTTAGGACTTTTTATATACGAGATCATGTCATTGGCAAACAGATAGTTTAATTTCTTCCTTTTCAATTGGATGTCTTTATTTCATTTTCTTGACTAATGCCCTAGCTAGAAACTTCAGTACAATGTTGAAGAGAAGTGATAAAAGTGGAATTCTTGCTGTGCAGAAAAGAGTGAACATAGCAGGCCTGAGACAATAATCCTTAGAAAGGCCTGCCAATCGGGCTGCCAAAATCCTTTTGTTATAATGAATCATAGCCATGAGTAGGACTATCTCCTGAGTCCTGTAATCCTGGCATCAAATCATTGAATCTGGTGTGATCTTGGGGAACCCTAATACAATTTTTGTTCCTGATTTTAAGGGGAAAGCTGCCAGTCTTTCACCATTACATATGACGTTAGATGTGGGTTTTTCATAGACGTCCTTTATCAGGTTGTCTAGGTCCTTTATCCTATCCTATTTCTAGTTTGGTTTTTTTTTTTTTTAAATCAAGAAAGGATGTTAGATTTTGTCAAGTGCTTTTTCTTTATTAAGATGATTATGCAGTTTTTGTCTTATTCCATTAGTAAGTTGCATTATATTAATTGATTTTCTTTTTTTTTTTAAGTTTCTTTTTTTTTAGTGACACAGTCTTGCTATGTTGCCCAGCTGCACTCATACTGGACTCTAGTGACCCTCCCACCGCAGCCTCCCCAGTAGCTGGAACTAAAGACATGGACTGCCATGCCCAGCTATTAATTGATTTTCATATGTTAAAACCACGCATTCCTAAATCACACTTGGTCTTGGACTTCTTCTATTAAAAGAGACACACATTTTAAAAATCAACCGAACAAATACATAATTTCAAGTAGTGAAAGTGCTATACGGATAAAAGAAAAAGCAGGGTAAGGAAAGAGAGAGCAAGAAAGACGGTGGCTATTCAAACTATATTCAGGGAAGGTTTCTCTGAAGCAATGACATTTGATCAGAGATCTGAATGACCTGAAGAAGCTAGACATTCAGAGAAAGATAATTCCAGGTGCAAAGACTAGCAAATTGCAAAAGCCTTGAAGCAGGAACCCGCTTAGTGTGTTTAAGGTACAGCTAGAAGGCCATGTGGGCAAAAGAGTGGAAATAAAGTCAGAAAGAGATGAGAGCAGATCATACAGGTACTTGCAGGTCATGGTACAGACATTTGGATTTTATTGTAATTGTGATGGGAAGGCACTGAAGCATGGTTTTCAGCCTTCTTAAAAGACCTTTCTCCTCGGTTTTCTGGCTAACTCCCATATGTCTTTCAAAATCTAGCATCATCTCCTCTGTGACATGTTCTTTAACATTCCTGATAAGATCAGTCCCTTCCTCTGTGACACCTCTGAGTAACAGTAGATTACTGACCTCTCTTCACACTCCTAGGGCCCTCATTTGTTTATTTTTTCACAGAACTGTGTCTTTTTCATATTTTACCCTCACAGTCTAACATAGTGGTGAGTACTAAAGAAACGTTTGATAGGCCAAGCGCGGTGGCTCACGCCTGTAATCCCAGCACTTTGGGAGGTCGAGGCGGGTGGATCACCTGAGGTCAGGAGTTCGAGAGCAGCCTGGCCAACATGGTGGAACCCCGTCTCTACTAAAAATACAAAAAATTAGCTGGGCGAGGCAGGAGAATTGCTTGAATCAGGGAGGCGCAGGTTGCAGTGAGCCGAGATCGCGCCATTGCACTCCAACCTGGCCAACAAGAGCAAAACTCTCAAAAAACAAAAAACAAACAAACAAACAAATGTTCGATAAAAGAAATACTCTAAGTCATTCAGTGGTGCAAGGTGGGATTCCTTTCAGACCCGAAGTAGTTGTCGCCCTGGGAGGTCGGGCGCATCACTTTTCCCTCAGAGAAAGGGCTTGGGTCTCGGGGAGAATGCCCTGGCTGAGAATGCCTCCTAGGGGGAGATCCAACCTCCCAACCGTCAGGTGCTTGCTGTGTTCCCTTTGCACGACTTTGTACATCCTTCCAGGGTGGGACCTTGGGTGGCGTAAGTGGAGGAACCTTCAGGCTTCCCAGTTCCGCCTCCGAACACTCCTGGCAAACACTTCCAAGACCTAATCACAAACCCAGGTCCCCCATTTTCCTCCGTAACAACGGAAGTCACAACAACTATGTCCACTCCTGTTCAGGGGCTAGCGTCGTGCCGTCCACCCCACACCTCATCCCTCCGCTCCTCCTTCCTTCTCCTCCACACCCTCTCGGCACCGTGCCCCCACCCCTCACCTAGGATGCGCGTGATGCCCAGGGTGAGCTTCTCCAGGTGCGGCTTGCTGCAGCCCAGCCCCGGGGGCGACGCCTCCTCCTCCATGGCTCGCGAACCCGATCCGCGCGCGGCGGGAGCGGGTGGAGGACCGGGCTCCGCCTCAGCGCCGAGGCCAAGTTCATGGCATGCCGGGAACTGTAGTTCTCGGCGCCTGAGAGCGCGGCGCAGTGATGATGGGGGCCCGGGGTTGGTCTGACAGCAGCAGCTCCGCGGGGCGCTGGTTCCCGCGGCCCCGCCCGGTGCCCCACACCGCACCTCCGGGACGCAGCTTCCCTTTCGCTCCGACCCTCTCGCCCCGCAAGGGCCGGCCGCGCAGGAGGGGGCGGGCCTCTGCGTGGTGCGGCCAATCGGGACCGAGCCTGCAGGCCGAGGCGTGGCGGCCCCGGCGCGACGCCCCGAGTGGCGGTTGTTTCAAGATGGCGGACGTGGCGGGCCCCTCCCGCCCCGGTGCTGCTGCGTTCTGGAGCCGGGACTGTATCCTTTGCCCGCCTGACAGGGGGCGCCGGCGCCCTCCACGGGGCGGCGAGGGGCGAGCCGTCGCGTGGCAGTCTGAGAGCGGAGGAGAAGCTCCGAACTAACCCCGGGGACGAGGACGTGCTGCTCGGCCTCAGTCTAGGTGCTGGGCTTTCCCCTTGCTTGGGTGTTAGGTGGCCGAGAGACTGGTACTGTCTCCAGGTGCGGGGACACGGCGCAGATGCTTCCCAGCCCTCACTAGCGGTGAGCTCGAGAAAGATAGCCTAGAGTCCAGGCTCAGCCTGGAGCTGGGAGGGCCCTCCGAGGTCCCTCTGCCCACCCTCTCAGAGTGCCCCCACGCTGACTGTGCGAAAGGAGCTCGAGGTTAAGGGAGGAGTGGGTGTTGGCTGGACAGGGAGCCTTTTTGTTTTGATTTAGGATTGTCCTTAGTCTGCGTTGGTAGGAACAAGTCAGGACCTTGTCGGACTTCAAAGGCCCTCCAGTGATGATGTATTTTAATACTGGGGTTTTAGGAGAGGTTTGGAGCTTGGTTACTGGGATGTGGTCTGGTGGTGCTGGTTACTGCGTAAGATGGGAATCATTGTGCCTGCAAGTATTGCTGACTTACGTGTAGAGTGTGGGTCACTGGCAGTCATTGAAGTTCTTGGATCGTTGTGAGGTGGAGAAGCAGTGGAACTTTTTAGTCCAGTGGTGGTATTACCAGTTCAGCAGCAGTGACGAGATGTTTGTGTGACAGGAGTTTTTTTCCCTGGAGTAGGTAGACTCTTAATCGCTTGAGCTTTGGTGCTGATAATTTACTTCACGATCCTTAGAGGGGTTACTTGAGAGAGGGAGGGCAGTCAGTGTTACTGAGCGCTTGCAGAGGCAGCTCTTTTTCTGTTGGTTAGGATTGGTGATGGCTTTATTTGAGGCGTTGCTGTCACCTTTGGCAGAATCACTCTTTGGGCATTCTTCTTAGCTCCCGGTAAAACTTCCAAAACTGTGTTATCAACTCCTCTGTTGAGTTACTAGGATTAGTGTCATGTGTAGAGAGAGGGATATGTTTGTATTCTGTGCTGCTCGTGTTTAGTGTTTGCACTTACTAGACATAATTACCATTTGTCTCTGATAGGTTGGTGAAAAGGAAATGAAATCATGTACATACACTGTGGATAAGAGCATACTCGTGCAGTGTGCAAATTAAACATTTTTTCCTTTACCTATCAGAAGAGAATATGTGCACTGTGGACATCTTGGCTGAATTAGGAAGTTAGGAAATTGGGGTAAGTCTTTTCTCAAGAAACGCTGCTTCTGCATTGACAGGATTTTGTGATGGAGGAGCTACTTGAAGATTATTAGCTTATAGCATCCTATGGTATTGTTCAAATACAGAATCAGTGGTTGGGGGGAACAAGCTATTGCAGTGGGACTGAATAAGTTAATTAATAGATATAGGGACTGAACTTACGCTCTTGGTCTTCGCACCCAGTACTTTCACTTACTCATGTAGTTATATCACTCCCTGTTTTATGTAGAAGTCATATATACTCCTTTATGTCCTGTATTCTGACTCCCAACATTTAATGTAAAATATTTGCCTTCTCATTGATAGTGAGGAATTGAAATTGTACAGGGGAAAAATGGTGGTGATTATATCCTATAAGATCTAATTCAGATGTATGAAAGGAATTGCAAGGTTACTAGTGTCACCTTTTCCCCCAGCCTATTCCACATAATGACCAGTTAACATCGAGCCTCAGATATTTTCATTTTAAATCTCCATAGAGAATGTCACTGTAAGCAATGTCAAATGTAAATTTGTTACTGAGTATTTGCTGAAAAGCATAATGATAGTTATTAATCATTTGATTTAGCTACATGTCTTTGGATCTTGATCCCTTTGTCATATTGATTATTTCCCAGACCACCCTAGAGCCTTTATAGTAGAATTTTCAATAGAAAAAGACTAAAAAGTATGTACCTATAATCTGGTATTCTTTTCACACTATTGAAAAAAGATTTTCAATACTTCACGTAAATAATTAGAGAAATGTGAGGGCGAGATTTCTTAGTCCTTGATGTTTCCATCATGAGAGGACAGATCATCTGTGACTGAATGCCCCCCGCTTTTTTTTAAACTGTTGTTCTTGTGAGTTATGCATCTCCTGCACAGTATGATTCAGCAGTGCTGTTTTGCACAAGGTATGTTTTAGTACCTCATGTGTAAACAATGAGTGTGTGGGGTTGTCATTTTATGGGTTAAATCTTCCAGCAAAATATGCTCCTTCAGTTTAAGTTGGCTTTGACCTTCGTTACAGTTCCTAGTAGTGTCAGAATGAGTTAATGTTTCAGCAGTACCTAAATTTGACTGCTTAAATGCACTCAAGTGTATTACCATTAACAATATCAGGGACTTGTTATTAAAAAATATGAACTGCAAGTTACTTGGTCAAAACATAACAATATAATCTCTACTGTTGAGTTTTCAAATGAAAACAAAAACTTTATGTTGTGGTAAAAATAATATATTAGCCCAGAAAGTCTCTGTGGTTGAAAGTAATTACATATACATGTATTGCTGGTAAAACTCAGCAGATTAGAGTAGAATGGGCAGTACTGAGCTTATTTCCTTCAAATCCTGGAGGTCTGGGATAGAGGTACGTCTTCCTCTCTACCACTTCTGCCTGGGTTTCTAATTACAGTTAGCCCTCTGTATCTGCTGATTCATTCAAATGTGGATGGAAAATATTTAAGAAAAAAAAAGAAATAACACAACAACAACAAAAAAACCCAAATTAAACTATACAATTTAACTGTTTGTATAGCATGTACATTGTTTTAGGTATTATAAATAATCTAGAAATGACCCACTAGTAGGCCCACTCTACATTTGGTATATAATGTGTCTGTTTGACTTCCCCATAAAATATACATTTGTTGGGAAATTCTACATTTGAAGGAGGTAAATATTTGAGTTCTTAATATAATGAGATGAAAATACATTACAAATTATTAGAAAGGATAGAGGCAATTTCAGATATCCTTATTTAAAAAAATTGAAGTCGTCTATTTAGAGTTTTATATATTCGAAAAGAAGTTTGGCATGGATGTAGCTGAAAGTAAAAGATTTTGTTGGCCTGTTGCAGTGGCTCACACCTGTAATGCCAACGCTTTGGGAGGCCAAGGCAGGTGGATCACAAGGTCAGGAGTTCAAGACCAGTCTGGCCAACGTGATGAAACTCCCATCTCTACTAAAACTACAAAAAAATTAGCTGGGCGTGGTGGCGGGTGCCTGGGAGTAATTCCAGCTGCTTGGGAGGCTGAGGCAGAGAATTGCTTGAACCTGGGAGGTGGAGGTTGCAGTGAGCTGATATCGCACCGCTGCACTCCAGCCTGAGCAACACAGCGAGACTCCGTCTCAAAAAAAAAAAAAAAAAGTTTTGTTTGCATATTTTGAATCAGAGAAAAATAACATTGAAGGTTGTTGGACAATGCCTCGTAAAATTAAATAAATACTAATTTTATTCTTTCATAGATGGAGCCAGACATTCTTTTGTGTTTGAGGGTACAACACTGAACAAAATAAAACAGAAATCATCACCTTCTTGGTGCTTACATTTTAGTGAAATGAGATAAGGAAAATATATGTTCAATGATTATTGGTGCTGTGGAGAAAAAATAAAGCAGGAGAGAGACAGTAGGGGAGGTAGGTAGGTTGTGGGAAGAGAGAGTTTTGCAATTTCAGGTACCTATATGGTTAGGAAGTGAAAGCTTCAATCAGAAGGTGACATGACATGACATGTGACATTAAGTCCTAAAGTGAGCCATGAAGATATTTGGGGAAAGAGCTTCCTGGGTAGAATAAATCATACATGCAGAAGCTATAAGGTAGGAGCTTGCATAGCTCGTTAACAATTGTAAGAAAGCCAGGAATGAGTGAGAGGAATAGTAGTAGGGAGTGAGATCAGAGATGTAACAAGTTATAGGGATCAGATCTTGAGCATGGTAGGCTGTTGTTAATACTTTGGCTTTTAATTTAAATTAGAAATGACATAAGTATTAAGATGATCATTCTAACCACTGTGGGAAAAAATAGGCTATTAAGAGAACATGCCCAGAAGTGACAGAGAGCAATTAGGAGCTTATTGCAATAATTCTGGGAGAGGAAAAGTTGAGTTGGATCAAGGTGACAGTTGAAAATGGTGTGTTATAATCATAGCCTGTCTAAATTTCTCCTTTCGAAACTCACACTAGTTCTTTCTGTCTTAAATTTCTTCTACTTTTTAAATAGTAGGGCTTCTTGGGATATTTTATGAATGCACCGTAGAAGATTAAATAATGTCTTTGTGTTTGCATGATTGACTTGCCCTCAGTGTTTTTTCTTCAAAGCTAAAAACCATCTTGAAATTATTTTCTCTTCAGAATTGTCAGTTCCCCAATATGACCAAACTGGAGCACTTAACTTTTTGTTTACAAAAGGAAAGGGAAAGGAAAGGAACCTAATAGTAGAGTATATATTGCAGGGTAACCCACTTGAGAGTGGATAAAAGTTTCATGGAACAAGACCTTCCAAGATTTTTATAAGACGTGTAGTTGTAAATATATAAAGGTGAACTTTTAGAGAATATTAATTTTGTTACATTTAATTCAATTACTTTGCTTTCTAACTTTGTTTTTAAAAGTTAGTTATAAATTCCCAGGTCAAAAGAAACTATGAATTATAAGAGTTATACAGAACAGAAATGGCATTTGGATGCTGGATAATATTATTGTATTTTCCTTCATGTTCTCCTGCATAGTTTCTGATGAAGAGCAATCAGTAGTGTACGTTCCAGGTATGATTTTCTATGTTAAAATTTGGGAAACTTACTTTGGTCCTTAAATGTTAGAAGAAAATAAAGCTGTTAGAACAGTGTTGCAGGTATAACTAACTGGATGCAGAGCAGTACATCAAAACCTAAAATTTGTTTTTTGAATATTTGGCATAACCCTATTAAGGTTTGAAATACTGGCTTATCTTTGGGATTGGCTGGCCCAATCAGCTTTTAACGAACTTGTAGAACATTTCATGTGGTAAGGGGCAAAAGATTCTTATCTTATTTTTTCTTTTACAAATGATAGCCAAATTTAATATTTCAAAGAAAAGTATGACCGCTGCTTGATACAGGGTATATGTAAGAGACACTCTGAGTATAATGGTTGTAACTAGATGGTAGTAAAGCAACTATTGAAGGCACCCTCATTATATAGGGTGAAAAATATAGATTTCCCCTAAGTTAACGTATATTTAGCATATTGTAATTTCTTGGTTTTAATGTGACTTATGAACATTAACAGTACCCTTTGCAAATATTTCAGTTAAGCTGGACATGGTTGCTTGATCCTGTAGTTCCAGCTACTCCAAAGGCTGAGGTGGGAGGATTGCTGGAGCCCAGGAATTCGAGTCCAGCATGGATACCCTGTCTCTTTAAAAAAATAAAAATAAAAACAAATTTCAATTCAATCTTTAGTGTATTTCTTTAAAACATATTCTTTTTATGATTCATATATTAAGAGCTTTAAAATTAAGTTTATAAAGTATAAAGAGAGTTTCTTCCATCAGGTCCCTTAAAGTAGAGGATTACAAGGAAGCAGGTGATGGGGGATGGTTTAAGATAATAAGATATAATTTTGAAATCTTGTTTAATGGAAATCCTTAGGCATTTCTACTGAAGGAAATGTCAGATCAAGACACAAGCTGACAAGTCCAAAAGCTGATGTTAAACTTAAGACTTCCAGGGCGACTGATGCTTCAATCTCTATGGAGTCCTTAAAAGGCACAGGAGATTCAGTAGATGAACAGGTTAGTATTTTTTTAGTCTTTTTTTTCCTTGTTCTTCAGTCTTTATGAGTGCTGACCAAAAAGGGTAGAAGAACCTTTGGAAGTATACTAGGTGATAAACAAACATTCTTAAAAGATACAGGGGATTCCAGGATCCTTTGGTGATGCCAGGTTTGAGCCTAAATTATCTAGATTACTCAAGGATTTTGCTCCAAAACATATGACTTGCTTTAAGCGTTAGCTATGATGATGTATTATCTTGATATGTCTCAAAAGAACTACCTTCTGATCTGTGTGGCATTAGTAAATCAAACTGACAAGAATTGCTTTTTTAATTAGGCATCTTTTTGATTTTTATTCTTGTGAATTTATTTGATGGATGAACCCTTTTACATAAGAAAGATACATTATTAAAGAAAATTAGCCCTTATTATTTCCCTCAGTTGGAAAACAGTATCATAAAGATTATTACTTTTGAATCTTTATGATATCTTTATCTTTCTTACTATTGCTATGCCACATTATTGATTTGTCCCTTGTAAAGATGAGTGACAAATCAATGACTGGGCATATTAATAGTATCGGTGCATTCCTTTGGCACATGTCCTATCTGACCAGTTTATTTTACTTTAATTTTTGTTATGTTTACCGTCTGCAACTAGAGTTATTCAGTACCACTTCACACTCACTAGGATGTCTACACAAAACTTGTATATGAATGTTCTGGAATCTATAACCTGTGGACCAAATCCTTCTCCTGCCTGTTTTATAAATAACTGTTTTTTTGGAATACAACTGTGCTCATTGTTTTACATAATTGTCTATGGCTGCTTTTGTGTTACAATGGCAGAGTTGCTACAGAGACTGCATGCCAACAAGCTAAAAACATTTGCTATCAGACCTTTTATAGAAAACCTTTTTTAGTCTGTGAATTATGTTCTCAAAGATATTTCCAATGTGTCTTTTATTACTACAGGATTTTACTGTGATTGAATCAAAAGGCCTACTTTATGTTACTTGTACCAGTGTACTCACTTCACACTGGGGTGTGAATAGTTGAATTTGCAAGTTTTTATCAAAAAAAGTTAAAAATGTTTTTTCACGTAATGATTGATTTGTTTTACATTGAACAATAGCCTTCTTTTAGATTAAGTTCATATTTTTGTCCTATTGGCTGTAACTTTGGATTGAATTATTTCAGTGGCTTCTTTAGAGATTATAGTATACATCTTTAATTTATCATAGCCTATTATCAAGTGATACTTTCCCACATCACCTATAGTTTAAGGACCTTTCAACATTGTACTTTATTTCTCCCCTCCTGACTTTTTTGATATTGTTGTCATACATTTTACTTGTATGCAGAGACCCCAAAATATGTATTACTTTTGCTTTAAATAGTTAACTGGCCTTTTTTTTTCAAATTGAGATGTAATTTGCATATAAAATTCACCCTTTTAAGTGTACAATTTATTATTTTGATTTTGTGTGTGTTTATATTCACAGAGTTGTGGCTCTATCACCACAGTCTATTTTCAAAACATTTTTATCACTCTAGGAAGAACCACCATACCAATTAGCAGGCACTCCTCATTACCTAGTCATTTCAGCCCCTAGCAAACACTAATCTGCTTTCAGTCTCTATAGATTTGCTTGTTATTGATGTTGCATATAAAAGGAAATCACATAATATGTTGCCTTTTGTGACTGGCTTCTTTGATTTAGCGTAATGATTTCAAGGTTCATCTATGCTGTATCATTACTTGATTCCTTTTTATGTCTGAATATACATTTTGTTTATCAATTTATCAGTCAATGGACATGTTCAACTTTTTAGCTATTATGAATAATTCTGCCATGAACATGCATATACAAGTTTTTGTGTAGACATATATTTTCAGTTTCTCTTGTGTATATACCTATAAGTGAATTGCTGTGTCGTGTAATTTTATGTTTAACCTTTTGACAAAATTCCAAACTATTTTTTAAAGTGGTTACACCATGTTACATTTGACTAGCACTGTATGAGGATTCAGATTTCTTCACATTCTTGCCAACATTTATGTCCGTGTTTTTTGAGGATGACCATCCTAGTGGGTGTGAAGTGGTATTTCAGTGTGATTTTGATTTGCATTTCCCTAGTGACTAAATGATGATGAGCATGTTTTTATGTGCTTCTTGGCTATATGTATATCTTCTTTAGACAAATATCTAGTCATATCCTTTTTTAACTGGGTTACTTGTCTTTGCACTGTTAAATTATGAGTTCTTTCTAAATTCCATCTACAAGTCCCTTATCAGATACATTATGTGCTAATATTTTTTCTCGTTCTATGCATTGCCTTTTCACTTTTTTATTGGTGTTCTTTGAAGCACAGAAGTTTAAGATTTTGATGAAGTTCAGTTTATCTAGTGTTTTGTCTCCTTTGTTTCAGTGTCATATCTGAGAAATTGTTGCCTAATCCAAGGTCACAAATATTTGTGCCTACATTTTTTTCTAAGAGTTTTAAAGGTTTAACTCCTGTATTTAGTTCTCATTCCATTTTGAGTTAATTTTTATATATGGTGTGAGGTGGTAGCTTAACTTTATTCCTTTGCATGTAGCTATCCAGTTGTCCCAGCATTTGTTAAAAAAACTGTCCTTTCCCCTTTGCATTTCTCAGCACCCTTGTCAAATATCTGTTGACCATAAGTGCAAGGATTTATTTCTGGACTCTCCGTATTCTGTTCCATTGATTTATATTTTTATTTTTGGAATTAGGAAGTATAAGTCCTCCAACTTCTTCTTTTTCAAGATCGTTTTGGCTATTTTGGGTCCCTCTGTTTCCATAGGCATTACAGAGTCAGCAAATGTTTTATACTTTTTGATGTTATTAGAAACACAATTGTTTCTGAATTTCACTGTTGGATTGTTTATTGCTAGTATATATAAATTCAGTTGATTTGTGAATTGATCTTGTATCCTGCAACTTTATCAAACTATTTCTAATCCAATAGTTCTTTTGTGAATTCCTTACCATTTTCTCTAGGTAAGATGAAGTTGTCTGTGAATAGAGATAGTTTACATATTCTTATTGGATGCCTTTATTCCATTTTGGATGCATTTTATTTTAATTGCCTTTTAAAGAAATTTTACAAATGCACCAGAAGTCTTTTAAATCTACTCATGTAGTTACAATTAGAAATCTCGTGATTTCATTCTTTTGCATGTATCCAGATTTCCTAAAAGACTTCCTTTAACATTGGTTCAGGTATACTAGGAAAGAATTTTTTTAGCTCATGTATGCCTAAAAAGTCTTTATTTCTCTTTTCTTTTCAAAAGATATTTTTACTGGTTATAAAATTCTGAGTTGATAGTTTTATTCATTTAGTGCTTTAAAGATGTTGTTGCACTGTTGCCTGGCTTGTATTGTTTTTGAGAAGTTGGCTGTCATTTTTATTCGTATTTATTTTTGTGTGTGTATGTGTTTAAATTTGGCTGCTTTTAAGATTTTCTTCTTATCACTGGTTTTGAGCAATTTGGTTATAGTATACACTGGAGTAATTTTTTTTTTTTTTTTTTTTTTTGAGACAGAGTGTTGCTCTGTTGCCCAGGCTAGAGTGCAGTGGCACGATCTTGGTTCACGGCAACCTCCGCTTCCCAGGTTCAAGCGATTCTCCTACCTCAGCCTCCTGAGTAGCTGGGATTATAGGCGCGCACTACCACACCCAGCGAATTTTTGTATTTTTAGTAGAGATGGGATTTTACCATGTTGGTCAGGCTGGTCTTGAACTCCTGACCTCGTTATCCGCCCGCCTCGGCCTCCCAAAGTGCTGGGATTACAGGCATGAGCCATCATGCCCAACCTAACTTGGAGTAATTTTTTAAGTATCTGTTTTGTTTGAGGTTTGTTGAGCTTTTTGGAACTATGGGTTTATAGTTTTCATCAAATTGGGAAGTGTTTCAGCCATTGTTTCTCCAGATATTTTTGTGCTTCCCTCTCTTTCTAGTGACCTTAGTTACAAAATACTAGGCCTTTTGAGGTTACCATCTCAGCTCTCTGATCCTCTGTTCATTTTTTTTTCATTAAATTTTTTTTTTTATCCTTGGATAGTTTGTATTGCTGTTGCTGTGTCTTCAAATTCATTAACCTTCTGCAATGTCTAACCTGCTGCTAATCTCATCCAGTGTAGTTTTCATATGAAACAATGTAGTTTTATCTCTAGAAGTTCAGTTTTGGTCTCTTATTTTTATTTACATCTTCCATGTCGCACTTGACATGCTTTCTTCTAGGTTCTTAAACATATGGAACACAGTTATAATAATTGTTTCAATATTCTTGACTATGAGTTCTGTCATCCAAGTCATTTGTGGGTAGGTTTCAATTGAGCAAGTTTTCTCCTAATTATAGGCTGTATTTTTCTGCTTCTTTGCCTGCTTGCTTGGTTTTAATTAGATGTCACAAGACAGTGTGCATTTTGCCTTTTTCGATTCTGAGACAGTGATAAGTTATTTGGAAGTAATTTGATTCTTTCCAAGCTTGGTTTTGAGCTTTTAAAGGTGGTGCCAGAGCAGCTTTTAGTATAGGGGTAATTTTGCCCATTGTAGGGCATACCCTTTTGAATACTCTTCCTGATGCCCCTTAAATTACAAGGTTTTCCACTTTGGTTGGTGGGAACAGACTGTTCTCCTATGCTGTATTAGCTACAGACATTGTTTCCACTGTTCATTTTCGACTTTTTCCCTGGGATGAGTAGTTTTCTCACATACATGTGCTGGCCAGTGCTCAGTAGCTGACGCGAAGGGATTATGCAGATCCCTGGAGCTCTCCTACACAGCTCTATCCTTGCCATTACTTTGCCCTGCAAACGCTAGAAACCTTGGCTTTCCTGGACTCCCAGCTGTATCTTTTCAACTCAGGGAGATTGATGGGCTTTGTCTGGGTTTACCTACCTTAGCCCTAAAACTCTCCACAGCAGTTAGCTGGGACAGTTGTAGGGCTCACCTTGTTTGGCTCTGCAGTTCCAGTGATCATAATTCTGTGTTGCCTGCTATCCACTGAAAACTATTGTTTCCTGTCTTTTGTCAGGTTTTTGTTTTGTTTTCTGAAACTAGGGTAAATCTGGTTCCTGTTACTCCATCTGGGCTAGAAGAGGATGTCCTACATAGGGGGTATGTGTGTCTGTGTATGCTTTTTCTTAAGACTAGAAATGGTGATGTGCTTTTTTTTTCCTTTTTTTCACTGAAGAGCATGTCTTGAGATTTTTTTTTTTTTTGACAGAGTCTCGCTCTGTAGCCTAGGTGTAGTGGTGCGATCTCGGCTCACTACAATCTCTGCCTCCCGGGTTCTGATTCAAGCAATTCTCATGCCTCAGCTTCCCAACTAGCCAGGATTACAGGAATGCACCACCATGCCTAGCTGATTTTTGTATAAATAGAGACAGGGTTTCACCATGTTGACCAGGCTGGTCTTGAACTCCTGACCTCGTGATCCACCCACCTCGGCCTCCCAAAGTGCTGGGATTACAGGCGTGAGCCACCACACCTGGCCATCTTGTGATTTTTTTCTGCATTGTAGTCTTTGTTGGTATTGATGTTCAGTATCCTTAATTCATTAGGATTTCACAGTGGTAATTAGGTCAGTTCAAGTCTTCTGGGAAGCAGACCGCAAGATGGAATTAGAAATGGAAGAGATTTAATGAAGGAAAAGCCTATAAAGCATAAAGAATAGAATGAGCAGGAATAGAAAAGGGGAGTTTTCAGATTTCACTACAGTCTAGCACCTGTGACAGGAGAGGAAAAGAAGGAAGATTGACTAGGAAGAACCTCAGACTTCAGATTGCCGTGCAGTCTGAGATAGTGTCCATTTTGCTAGTGAGGAACCCCAGAGCAAGTACTGACTTTTGAGGATGCCATATGGATCAAAAGTAGCTCAGTTCTAGTGTCTCTACTGTTCCCAGTCATTGGCTTTGGCATGAACACTGCAGTGGATCCCAAAGGTTTGGCAACTGGAGGCTGTTAGCTGATTATACTCTGCAGCAAGTTCCTCTCTTTTGTGGCCATATTGCCTTATTTTTCACAGTTAAACCTACTATTCATCAGGAAGTAATATGCACGTGTAGTGTAAAGTAAGGGTCACAGTCATTGCAATTTAGAGGAGAAAAAAGTCTTCTTCCCAATAGTTGGTCTTGGGCCCATAGACTGCCAGTATTGGGTCAATAGACTGTCAGTATTGGCCCAACACCATCTATTGGGAAGAGGATTCTTTTTCTCCTCTGAATTGCAATGATGCCATTGTTCTAAGTCAAGTGACTGTAGATATGTGGCCTTTCCTTATCATGTTTTCCTCTTTGGTAATTCCTATCCTGAACTTTATGTTTATAATTCTTTTGTTTTTCTATATCAGGGGTTGGCAGACTTTTTCTGTAAATTGGACAGATAGTAAATACTTTAGCTCTTGCAGGCCATAATATTTGTCTCAACAACTCAACTCTGCCACAGTAGCATTAAAAGAGCCATGAGCAATATGCAAATGAATGAGCATGGCCATGTTTTAATAAACCTTTGTTTACAAAAACAGGCAGTGGGCCAGATTGGACTTGCAGCCATGGTTTACCAAGCCCTGTCCTATAGTGTAAATATTTTTTTTTGAAACAGTATTTAATTTCATATATATTTGGAACTTTATATAAATGAGCTCATATCCATTTGTATTGTGTGATTTGCTTTTTTATTTCATATTGTGTTTTTGAGATTTCTTGTTTTTTTTTTTTTCCCCCTTTATGGCTCTTCCAATGTTATGTGAGATTTCTTTATGTTGTATGTAGTTATATTTCATTTCTTTTCACTGATGTCTCAGGGTTTAGTCAGTTATTTTAACTTAGAATATTTAAAAGAAAAAATTATTGAATAGTGCTAGAGAACCAAAAAGGCAAAAAGGGAACATTAAGGTATCATGAAAGTAGTATCTGTAAGAAGCAACCACAATCTCTAGAACTGGATGAGAGGACAGAATAAGTTGGAATTATTGAAACTTAAAAGCTTAGAGGAGGGGCGCCTTAAAGCTGCAGCTTGGACTTCTGGTGATGGGACACTAACCTGGCTGGTACTGACATTCCTGAGGAGGCCTGATAAAGGCTGGTTCTGTAAGGGCTGGAAAAAATTGCGAACTGGAATCAGCAGTACTTGCCAGGTTAAGGAACTCAGGGGTGACACTGTCAGTAACAGGAAGGAAATATCCTTCCTTCTTTCTTCCTGGTCTTCATCTAGTTCTTTGTGTTGGCAGGGTTCAAGAAAGCACCGGGTGGCAAAGGAGAAATGGTGTTTCCAGAGTCTTAGCCTTAGCATCTCAAAGCAGAGGATGGAAGGGTAGTTTTGAGGGGGAAAGTTAGTAGCATAATTACTAGTACCTCTAGAATTTCATTGTATCAATATGCCAGCCACGGTTTTACTATTCTCTAGTTAATAGACATTTGTGTTTTCAGATTTTTGCTGTTGTAAACACAATGCCGCTAATTTTTTTTTGCCCAGGTACAAAGATTTCTCTTTTGTTCTTTTACTCAGTGCATCACTAATGAAATGCCTTTTCATGGGTTATCAGCAACTTCTTCCATTGCCAAATCCATTGCCTTCTTCCCCCAGTCTGTCTTTTTTGATCATTAGCACTGTTGAACCCACACTGTTCTTGAAACTTTTTCTTTCTTGTTTTCTCCTACAGTGTTATATGCTTCTGATTCTCCACTTGTCCTTTCAAATGCTGCTTTAAATTAAATTAAAATCCAATTACTTAAATTGAAATTAAAATAAATGCCAATTTTCTTGGACTTGTAGATGATTTTTAAAATACTAATATTGTTTTCTTAATTTTAAATACGTAGTTATTAATGAAAAATTTAAAACATAGAAAAGTATAAAGAATAATAAAAAAATCTCAACATTGTCCATAATACCATACAACTGACTTTTAAATCTTTATGATTTTCTCTAGCTTGAAAGCTAGACCTACCTTTCCAGCTTCCTGCCTAGACATTTCCACATGAATGGCTTGCTGGCATCTTACATTGAGGATTTCTAAAACTGAATTATTTTATTATTATCTTCTTTTCTCCATTTTTTTTCCTACTCTCTTTCCCACCTTCGGCTATTACTATTTCCAGAATTCACTTTAGGGGTTTTCAGTTATTCTCGGCTACCTGAGGTAATTGGACTAACTTAACTTTGGTGGTTGTGCAAATGCCAAGGATTGTGATTGTAGCTCCTTGCTTTTACATGTTACCTACGATTCCTTTGTGACTCCCTGAGTTTATGTCTCTTTAAGGACTCCTCTTAATGATGCTGAGGTACCGGGGAAAACTTTTTGTAGCACAAAAGATTAGAATAATATGGCGTTTTAATTAAAGAGCATAGACTCTGGAACCCGTGTTTGAGTCTTGATTCTGCTGTTTAATTGCTATAATCCTGGATATGTACCCTTAAAGTAGAATAGGAATAGTAACTATTAATACTCAATAGCATTGTTATGCAAATAAAATGGAATAGTAAGTACAAAGTACTTAACGATATTCCTGGCATGCAGTGAGCACTAGATGTAATTGTTAGCTATTGCTATTATTACTCTTTGGTTTAGTACTCTTTGGGGTGAACATTAGGATATTTTGAATGCTTAGTAACTGGTGCCTCTGCTGCTAATGTTAGTATACCCTTAAGCAGCGTGGGGACTATGGCGTAATAACAGTTCTCAGTATCTTCTGTTGAGTGTTTGTTTCTATGACATTCACAAAGGGAAAGTTGTTTCCCTAATGTACCCTAGTATTTAAGTGGGGGACATCTGCGTTTAGTTTCTTTCTGTTTGCTTCTCTGTGTAAATCTCATGAAGTGTCCTAGTGGACAGTCAGTTCCTTAGCCTGTTTTTAGTTCACAGTAGGTTTAAATTGAAACAGGTAGTGTTCCACCAGATAAAAGATATCTAAGAAATTTCACCTTGAACCTAGGTTTCTTGAAAAGACTTTAAAAATTGGCTTTAGAAAAAGTGTAACTAAATTTTTTTTTTTTTTTTTTTTTTTAAGAATTCCTGCAGGGGAGAAATAAAGAGTGCATCACTGAAGGATTTATGTCTTGAAGACAAAAGACGCATTGCAAACTTAATTAAAGAATTGGCCAGGTGAGATAAAACCTTATATGAAATGATTTATTATACAAAAGACAATTCTTATTGAAAACAGAAAATTACAAATATATTTTGATGACTTAATATCTTTGATCTTATGGTAGCAAAGAGTTTTAGAAAAAAGACATTCTGTGATGCCAGAATCCCCCCAAAAAGGTTAAAAAACAAGCATCAAAAGCAAACTACTTTCCAATTTACATTTTCTTATTTACTTAACTTTCCAAATTTTTTGATGCAAAGATTTGTAGCAGTTATCTATTAAGGGAAGTTTTGGAAACTACTGTTGAAGTAGGTTGATACTGTTGTAACCAGAGGCATAGCAGTTACCTTTGATTTTTCGTCAGCATCTGAAGAAAAAATATTTCACTCACAAGACTATCTATTGTTGCCTTGCTAACTCCTAATGCTTTTCAATTAATGGATTTTGAATTTTGATAATGATATTTCTCAGCTCTTTGGGAGTACTATTCCAGTTTATTAATGATGTGTATGAGGCACATCTACTTTGTACGTGTAATTTCTTTGTCAGATATACATCCCCAGTTTTGGGGGTCTTAAAAAGTACTTAATAAATGAAGGTATCTGTAGAGAAATGGATGAATATAAATTGTAAAAGTTAAATTTATGGAGAGACCATACCTAAAAGTTGATAAAATAGTACTACTTTTTGTCAGTGAATTGCAAATAAAGATAACGGTATTAGGTATATTTTGAACGTATTTCGTGTTGAAGCCTTGACGTAAAGTTTGTAGAGGCTTTTAAAAAGACTGAAGTTAAAAAATTACCTTACTCTAAATCATAGAATCATGGGTATCAAAGATGACTATAAAAAAGTGATGTTTTGGAAGCCAGAATATAGGGTGTGAGAATTCAAAGTACATGCCTTAGTCTGAATTTGATATGCTACCTGAGATAAGTAGTGATCTCTTTCATTAGAATTCTTTGGCTGGCCTACTTTCTAAAGTAGAGTCTTCATTAACTTCAGTGTTCTTTTATTGGGAAAACATTTCATTGTTATCCTCAGTATTTGAAGATGATGTTCTTGTGAGGCTATTTAATACATAATAAGTCCTTTGATGAGGAGTTATTAAATATATTTTGATGGTATTGAAAAGTTATTGCTATTTGTTTGACTCTGTTTGTTAATGGTCCTAAGTTTCCATTATTGTCCTCCTGACCCATTTTGTTTGAGCTGCCAAGCTTGGAGAATACCTGCAATATTAGAACATGTCATTTTGGTATTTAATAACCCTCTCTTCCTATAAAATATGCTAGGTTTTCTTTTTTTGTAATTTCTTTGTAGAAGGTCAGTGTGTTAATACAAGGTCAGTGTTAGTAAAAATCTGCTTATACTGCTAAAGAATCCCATTATTACTATATTTACTGTTAACATACAAGTATATGGGAATAATGTGTTCTTGATTTCTTAAAATTTGCTGAGTTTCCTCTATTGGATATTTCAGTCTACTTTGTCTACTTTTGTCTACTCATACTTTGAAATTGTTTTGTTTGCTTTTTTGTTTTTTTTACTTGTAAGACTGTTCGATTGACGTGGGAATGTAGAGAACAGAATCTCATATAAAGCAGTGGCAACAAAACATTTCCAGTTTTTATATTCTTTTCCCTCTGAATTTTCAATCTGGTTTGAAATAGTTAAATATACTTATGTCTCTTGTATCTTAAAAATGCTGCTTTCCCTATATATTTCCCCCTAGTCACTGCCTTCTTTGCATTACAAGACATAACCTTTTTTCTAGAAAGAATAGTCTATATTATTTTCTACTCTGTTGCATTTTATTTTTTTATCAAGCATACTTGCTTGCTTATCAATCTATTTATAAATATGTCAAAGTGCAATTTGCATGCAATAACATGAACCAATTTTTATTTCAATGAGTTTTGACAAATGTAAGATATACAAGATTTCCTTTTCATGATATACAGCATTTATGTTACTCCAAATAGTTTCCTCTAGACCTTTTACAGTCTGTTTTCCCTTTCTCCCCCATCCCAGTTAGTTTTCCCTTTCTCCCCCATCCCAGGCAACCATTAATATAGTTTCCATTATTATAGTTTAGTTTTACATGTTCTGGTACACCACATAAATGGCCACACAGTATATACTCTTTTACTGTCTTTTTTCCCTCTACCTAATGGTTTGGATGGGGGGTGGTAAAATACACCTAATGTAAAATTTACCATCATAACCGTTTTTAAGTGTACAGTTCAGTGGCATTAAGTACATTCACAGTGCTGTGCAACCATCTCTACCATCCATCTCCAGAACTTTATCATCACAAACTGAAACTGTACCCATTCAATAATACCTCCTCCTTCTCCTTTCCCTCTTGCCCCTAGTAATAACTTCTCTGTGTGTCTCTATAAATTTGACTAATCTAGATAACTCATATAAGTGAAATCATACAATATTTGACCTCTGTATCTGGCTTATTTTACAGCATAATGTTTTTAGTTGTTTTCAAGTTGTTGTGTATGAGTATTCATTTTTTATTGTTGAATAGTATTTCATCACATGCCCATACTTTAATTTGTTTATCTCTTCATCTATTAATGGGCATTTGGGTTCTTCAGATTGTTGCCTTTTATGAATGAAGCTTCCATAAATATTCATGTACAAGTTTTTGCACGAACATAATTATTTTTCTTCAGTAAATACTCAATTATATGTTAAGTGTGTCTATAACTTTATAAGAAACTTCCAAACCGCTTCCCAACGTGATTGTGCCAGTTCACATTTACACTAGCAACTTATGTGAGTTCCATTATTCTGTGTACTTATCAACTCTTGGTATTGTCATTTTAAATTTTAGCGCTTCTAATGAGTATAGTGGTTTCTCCTTGTAGAATTAATTACTGTTTCCCTGGTAACTAATGTGATTATTGGTGTGATAATCACATTATAATAATGTGACTAATGTGTCATTCTTCCTTTGTGAAGTGTCTGTCAAATCTTTTTCCCCTTTTTTTCACCCGTCATGTTCTCTTTTTAATATTGAGGTATTAGAGTTCTTTATATGTTATATACATGAGTTGTCAAATATGCATTTTATTCTCACTCTGCAGCTTCCTGTATAATTATCTTAATGTTTTCTTTTGATAAAATTTTGGATCTTGGTTTATAAATTTTTTCCTTTTGTGGTCCATGTTTTTAGTGCTCTGTATATGAGATCCTACCCATCACAAATTGCAAAGTTTTTTTTTTTCTATGTTAGAAAAGACTTCCTACAGAATTACCTTAGCCTCCTTGTCAAACTCAATTGAACATATATGCATGGTTTATTTCTGGACTCTCTGTTTCATTCACTGATGTATATGTCTATCTTTATGCCAACACTGCATTGACTTGATTAATTTTGTGTTATCTTAAAATCAGGTAAATCCTTTAGCTTTGTTCTTATTTTTGAAAATTGTTTTGACTCTTTGAGGTCCTTTGCATTTCATTGTAAATTTTAGAATCAGCTTGTCAATTTCTAACAGAAATTTTTTTCCTGGAGTTTTGGATGAAGTGTTTTGGACATACAGATCAATTTGAAGAAAACTAACATTATTGAGTCTTCCAATTCACACAAAGTTATTTATTTAAATTTTCTTTAACTTTTCTAGGCAGTGATATGTAATTTTCAGGTTACAGGTTTTGTTATATGTATCCTAAAGTTTTTTTTTTTATGGCTTTTATACTATTGTAAATGGTGTTATTTAAAATTTTATTATACATTCAATTTTCAATTTTTTGATTGCTCATTTGAAAAAATAGATTTTTTAACATATATTGACTTGGTATCCTTCAACCTTTTAAAATTTGCTTATTATAGTCACTTTTTGGTAGAATCCTTTGGATTTTGCGCATAAAAGATGTCATCTACAAATAAAAACAGTTTTGCTTTTTTCCTTTCCAATCCATAGATGCTTTTTTTTTTCTTTTCGCCCTTTTGCATTGGGTAGTACTTCCAGTATAATGTTGAATGAAAGTGGTGAGTGGACATCTTTGCCTTTTCTTGTTCTTGATCTTAAATCTTTCACTATTAGGTACAATGTAAGCTGTAGATTTTTAAATAGATGTTCTTTATCAAATTGAGAAAATTTATTTTTGTTTCTAGTTTATTGAGAGTTTTTATCTTTAGTCATAAATTGGAGTAGAATTTTGTCAATTTTTTTTATCTTTTATTGCTGAACATGTGATTTTTTTATTCCTTTTTTCCATTAATGAGGTAAACTACATTGATTTTTGAATGTTTACCTTGTGTTCCTGGCTTAAGCCTCATTTGGTCATGTTTTGTTTGTTTTTATTTTTACTCTGTTGAATTGATTACCTGTTATTTTGTTAAATATATTTGTATCATCAGAAATATTTGTAGTTTTCATGAAATGTCTTACTATATTTTAATTAATTTTTAAAATTACAGTGAGATATACATAAAATTGACTATTCTAACCAGTGTTTTAGTGTACAGTTCAGTAGTGGTAAGTACATTCACATTGTTGTGCAACCAGTCTTCAGAACTTCTTCATCTGCTGTAAAACTCCGTGTCCGTTAAAAAACTTCTCATTACTCCTCTCACCAGCCGCTAGTAACCACTGTTCTACTTTGTATAGCCATGAATTTTACCACATCATTTAAGTGAAAATAGTATGTATGTATTTTTAATGTGGTAAAATACACATGACATAAATTGATCATTAGTGACATTTAGTATACTCACAGTTTTATACAACCATCACCATTTTCTAGTTCTAGAACATTTTCCATAATCCCAAAGGAAACTCTGTTCACCAGTTACTCCCCATTTTCCTGTTCCCCTGTGACTCTGGCAGCTTCTAATCTGTTTTCTGTCTCTAAGGATTTGCTGACTCTGGTTATTCTCTCTAACTGGAATTATAGAATATGGGGCCTAATATGTCCAGCTTCTTTCTATTAACATAATTTCAAGGTTGACTGAGTAACAGTTCATTGTGTGGATATGCCACATTTTGTT